AAAGTGAGGAAGCAAGCACAGACCTGCACGGGATGGTACGACCTTGGTACACGGCGTACACGGCTAAGTCAATAAACTGGGTGACGCAACTCACTAGCGCGTTGGATCGACGGAGAGCACCGATACTCGGCACGCTCTACCGTACTCTCTCGCTCGCACACCTCCCTCCCATAGACCACCGAAATTCCTCGGCACGCGTCAACACCGACGGAGAGCACCGATACCGCGGCTCGCTCTACCGCTCTCTCTCGCACGCCGTGACGTCACCCGATTCCCGGAATTCCGCGGCCTCGAGATGGCTCACTACGGTAAGGCATTCATGCAAGGGAAATTGTAAACCGCCCGGCCAAAAGGTAGCTTTGATAAACTATCTATGAAACTACATCTATTCTGAATTTTTCTGTTACAAATATACAAATGTGACTGTACAATAAGTTTAGGGTTATTTCAGCCGTGAGATGGCGCCATCGACAACTTTACACTTGCTGCATCGTGCAATCGGGGCGCACTGTAATTTTGAAAATGCACGCGTCACATGAATAAACTTATTTCACTTCTGTTCTGAATTTGTCAAAGACGGGCAAACTACTTGGGAACTGTATCTCTTTGAAATCTGTGCAATTTCTTATTTTACTTGGGGTGAGAACAGAGGTAGTCAATTCTATTTTGATCGCTCTAATAATCGTTTTCGATTTTTTTTTCTCGTCTCATACAGCGAATGTTGTATTTCCTTCTTAGTCGATACGTTTTTCTGTGTGGAAAAAGGAAAAATGAAGGTACAGGCGATTGAGAAGTGTAATGAGTTTCAATAGAACCATCTTTTTCTTTTTCCTTCAATTTCATCGTGTAGTCAACCTATTGCGATAATCTAATCTCCTTCTGCCACGATGTTATTGTAAAGGAAAGAAAACATGAAGCTCTTTTTCGCGAATATTGCTTTTATTTCGACATGAACATCTAATGTCTACCTCCTACCACAGAGATCCAGTACAGTACGATACTTAACAAAATAAATTGATTGTCGTGTGGGCGTGCAGGGATAGCTTGCGGAAAGAACCGCGAAACGATGGAACGACGACGACGACGACGACGACTTCGAGTTGCTCTTCTGGAAAATTCACAATTTCATTTTATTCTCCTGTCTCTTTGTTTCCGAATAAATTTCGCCTCTCCTTGGTCAACAGTCACGGGACTAAGAATACGTCGTTTAAGACAAAAAATGTACTCTCACTCCCTGCACGAGTTTCTCGGGCTCGAGGTATCGCTCTTACAAAGTAGAAAAACGTCAATCATGCGGATGAGAGACCGTGATGGAACGTGTGTTGCGCATATAAAAATAGACCAGCCTTTCGGGGGTTGTCCATGATGGCTCTGGTACGAGTTCTCGCGATCACCAGTGGGAGGATTAACAATAAATAATCTGTTTGGTTGCGTTGCATTTATATCCGTATCGATATCCATCGACGATTAGCTTATCCGAAAATCTTCTCTCGGGTAATTGTGTGTGATCGTCAATGAATATTTTACGGGGGTAGCGAATCGTCTGCGGTCAAATCGACACCCCAGAAGACAAGACGACGATGGTGATTCGTGCGACGCGACCGACACAATTTTTACGGTTAAACAGAATCGGCGAACAATCGATGATAGTTTTTACATACTTAGAAGCCGTTGCTCGATATGTGAAGCGCTCGTTTAATTTGCAATATACATAAGTACAGTGGTGCACATGTTCATGTGAATCATTTATATGTCGTGTAATATAAACAACAATGCAAAAAGAAATATTTGTTCGTAATTGTTCGGTAATTTGGGAATGAAACTCTGGATGTTTATGCGGGCACCACTGTACTTGGCCCGTGTATCACGGCTGCAACGTTTCCAATCGTTATCGATCATCTCCAGGTCTCGTCGAAAGTAACGAACAATGATATAGTAAGTCTATACACACGCATTCACACACACACACACACACACACACACACACACACACACACACACACACACACACACACACACATGCACACATATACCGACGGAGAGGGACCATCCTCCCGTCTTGTACGTTTTTAGGCCGTCCCTACTCGACTGAACGTTATCCGTTCAACAATCTTATCGATACTCTCGCGAACGAGACTCCAGTGTGCGGCCAAATCACGTTTCACCGAGAGAATATAGTAGAAAAGAAACAACGAACCGCAATAATAGATTAAACCGATATTTCGTTAAATACTCGAGCTATCTACTATTGATGCGCTAATAGCCAGATGTCTGGACATATTGGAATGTAATCGAGCTCGATTCGATTCGAAGTTCAGAGCTTCAAACCCATTCGAAATTTGAAGTACCTACTCGGTAACCACTCACCCGTAATTGATCAGAAGCGACGAGAGAGATCGAGACTTCCACGAGAACGACGCACAGTGGTACAGAATAAAAATTTAGCAGCTCAAGTGATGAGTGAAGTGTGAAAACAATTTTCTTTTATCTTCCAATCTATGTATATGTGTGCAATTGTGAAAACAAATTTATTTTATCTTCCAAAAGAAACTCAAATCGACTTATTATTAACCCTGGAAGATTTGTTATTATATTCCTCAGATCTTTTCGTATGATGATACGAATTATTGATGGTCTCAATCAGAAATAGAATAAAGATTCCCCAAAACTTTAAACCTTTAGAAGATGTTGAGAACATACTATTGGTGAATGAGTACGTCATCGAAGAGGATTCTTAAAATTGGTAAGAATGCGTTCACGTACCTACTTCTATTCGAATAAACATTATAAGTCATTTTTGCATTCCTTCAGCTAATAAGCTAAATTTTCATTCTGGACCATTGTGCGACGGTCTGAACGCATCTTCAAAACGTCACCCAATGTATATCCTCTCTTAATCGCCAAAGTATACGCTACATATTTATACATAATAACGATATCGCTCCGTGTCGTACGAAAATTGAGTGGGGACGACCAGCGTCGCGTGATTGGACGAAACCAGCGTCCAGCGGAATGAAAGAGCGACTTTCGATATTCGTTGACTCGATTTTCGAGGCGACAATTCGAAGAGCAAAAAAAAACTTTTATTTATTTACCTGAATGTATAATAAATAAATACCAGGAAGCTGTTTTACAATATGTTGTTTGCTTTCTTTCAAAATAAATTCTGTAAAAGTGTCACCTTTTTTTCCGGCCGCTGAAGGGGAAGGCTTTAAGGAAACGATCGTCGAGCAGATTAACGAAAGACGATCTTCACGGACGGGACACTTCGAAAATCGAGCCACTCGCGGAGAATCGGGGTTTATTTTGACACGTATCATTTTGTCTCAATTAATTGGACACGTTCGACCGAGGCCGTGGCATAACGCGTACCCGTGATTATCGGAAAAACTCTTCCTCGTGCACGTGGCGAAGCCCGACACAGTCACCATGGATAAATCTACAGGGTGACTCGGATTCGACGTGCCTGTCACGAAACGAAACACATGTTTATACAGATTCTTTGACTCGGGGGTAAATTTCTCTTGGAGCCAAGAAATGATCATTTTCTGTGAGTATTTTTTTTTTTTACGTTACATATCGTTTCACGAAAAAATCCACTAAATTTAAGAATTTGCAGAGCTACTTCATCTCTTTCAAACATTTAAAAAGAAACCCGTGAAAACAACATTAATGCACTTGAAGTTACAATTGAAGAAAATAACAAGAAAGTAGAGGAGTCACTACTGGGAAAACTTTTAATTGGACGATATTTCTGATGCAGCAATCTGATATAAATGGTACCGGTCCATTTCCGAGAACTTCGTAATTCATTTCAACCCGGACACGGATCCCACCCTGTACAGGAATCTGTGTGCACGCGTTGCAACACACGAGCGGCGAGGGACACGTGTTACCCATTAGATCCTAATAAATAATCGAACCGTTCGCGTACAAGCCGCCAAATTTACTAGCGGCGGATTCCTTGTCTCATTCGTCGTTTGATTCTAATCTCGAGCGGTTGGCGCGCGCGTCGATGCCCGGCGACGCGACACATACCGCTCTGGAATCGATTCTTAACAAGGCAACATCCCGAATTCACAATCGCCGATTTTTATTGCAACTCTGTGAAATTGCAATTTTCATAAAAATATTCGACACGTATTTTTTTTTTTTAGCTGCTCTTGTCCACGTTGACGGGATGAAATCAAGCGTCGAAGTTAGAGGTGTGAACTGTATTCGGTCGAATACAGTGAATCTTCGATGAGTGTTCGAAGGCTTTTCGACACTGAACAGTAAGTATTTCATAAACTAATGGCCATATGCGGCTGAAACAAATATTTTGCTTGAGAATTCCTAGATCTATCACTGTGCTAAACCTCGTTAAAAATCCAGAGTTATACTTAAGGAACTGTCCTTGTCAGTGCCGAGGACCCTTCGAACACTCATCGCGGATTTACTGTAGTATTTTTGTTCATCGAGGACGATTGTCCGTCGAGTATCTATACATGTCACTTAAGCCCTGTCCAGGAACTGAGTTTCATAATCCTTATCCACTAATCCGTCGGAAGCCATACACGCGTCAGAATGCTCGCGATCAACCTGTTGCCACCTGTTTCCTATGATTGTGAACGGTGTTTACTTAACACTGGCGAACCAACCGAAGGCAGAGCAAATATTATTCGACGAACGGGGATGAGGGGCACATGATTGGAAGGGTGAAAGTTTCCTTGTTTGCGAGTCCGTCGAGTTTCCTGGACGGACCACTCCGCCTAACTGTGAATTCGTTAAGTGCCGAAGGAGGAACGCGAGGATCGATAAATCGCATCGAGTATCACCGCCGAACTGCAATTTGGCGGAATCATAATCGTTCGTTGAACTTTAAGATCGACATTTTCCACAATCGTTTCCACTTTCATGAATCCTTGATTCCAAGAATTCGAATAGTACGAAGTATTCGAAAAATTCGAGTATTTCACCGAAGTATTTGTATTATTTGAATATTCAATTAATAGAAGTGATTGAATTTCGGATTGTACAGAACAGGAATTTGAAAAACAAATAATTGTAAAGGCCAATGTGAAAAGAATTTCACGTTAAAGTGTGAAAAAATATATTATGTTTAGATTCCTGTTCAGTACAATCCAAAATTCGATCACTTAGAATATTCGAATACTTTCAATAATCCGAATAATTTCAATATTTCGAATACTGCAAGTACCGCGAATACTTCGAATATGAATTTCGAATTATACTGCTATTCGGATAGTCAAATATCCGTAACAGAAAATACCACACTGTGCATTGGCGTGCGACAGTCCCTTAGAGCACATGCAGATTCTCGCAGCTCTTGCTTTTGCTGTCGTTCAAGCACATCTTGCTGAGTATTTCCCTGGCGAGATTCAGGCTGAGGGCGGTCTTGCTACCGTGAAGCTTCGAGAAGATTTTCCCCTTGCTGCCCTGTCGTCTCAGCTTCTTGTCACGTGTCTCTCGTAGTCGGATCTGCTTAAGCACGCCCACCAGAAGTTCGTCCACGTTGTGCTGTATACCGCTAGACGTCTCGATGAACTTGCATTCCCGCGACGTCGCGAGTTGCTTTCCCTCTGCGACAGAAAACAGAAGGGTACGCGATCATGGAAATTGTATACGGTAAATCATCGATGGGTCTTCGCGCGTCGACGCAAGGACTCTTACCGTTCGACGTGATTACGCGACTTCTCACGAGGTCGGACTTATTGCCGACGACGATCACGGATCGTTCCTGAGTGTAGTGCTCCCTCCACAGGTAATTCAATATCTCCTCGGCGATCTGGAAGCTGGTGCGTGACACGATGGAGTAGACGACGATGCACGCGTGCGGTTCGTACGTCGACAACGAGTTCTCCACCTGTGCGAAATTGTTACAGTGTCGATTTACCGTGTGCCACGCGCAAGCCACCGTTACCAAACTGGCACAACTACAAGTAATTCGGGAAGGGAAGAACAGCAAAATAGGTAAACTTTCTGATTAAGTTCGGTTCGTTGGTCAATTTCTAGGGATTCGAGGAACTTTTTCGCGGAAGCAATTACCGTGAAAACCGTGAACGTTTCGCTGTTCGTCGTTGTGAAACTCGTATTCGTTCTTGTGTAACACTTTGACTGTCATGTCACGCGAATATGGGTGATCCTAAGCGAAAAGAAATGTATCTTTTGTTACTTCTTACGAAGAAAGAATATTTCAGTCATTTCAGTTTTTCTATTTCAGATGAATAGAATGATCAGAATCATTGCAATCAATCGAGAGATTTTCTTCCAGGTGATCGGCTTTCATGGGCTGCAGCGCCATCTTTATGTAATATTTCCAATCAAACATTATTTGTATTTATAACTTAAGATATAATGAATGTACAATTCCTGAAAAAAGTTACATACAATCGCGTGAAACAGTAGAATATCCCTTTAAAGAACGAAATAAAGTATGTCTGGTTACATACGGCCTTTTCCACTAGGTCAGTCAACGTTTTAAAAGACGAATATCGAGAAATTTAATGTGTCGAACGAGAAGTCAAGTACCCGGGTGCAATGATTTTTACGCGTCGAAACTGTATTCATCGCGACAAATGATACTTGTACATGGTACCGTTGACACGGATTCAAGGGTTTCGTTGATTGTATCGACCCGAAGCGGTCGCTTGATTTGAAATTGTTTATTTTCAGTGTATACGGGATTTTTTTTCTCATACGCGCTCGCCAGATTTCATCTCGGTTTTATTGCGCTATTTGTTTCATGACCTTTCGCCTTTCGATCGACCGCTGGCTACGCCAGGCACAATTGGGCCTGCGAGATAGAGTATTCAGTTGCGAAAGGGGAAGGCTTTTGCGCGCTGAAATTTCAGGTGAACCCCCGACACACACGTTTCGACTGTGTTACAAATTGAGAACGCCACTTACGCTCATCTCCACGTGGGGATGATCGATGAAGACCATTTCCGATTCCTCACCGTCCAGTAGAATCGAGACAGTCTTCTCGCCGAACTCGTCGTCTGTAACACATTTAATGGAACTTCGTTAACGTTTCGACTGGCGTGTCATCGATGCACTACACGTTTTTTTCCTTTGGAGCTAAAGAAGAACGATCACAGGAATATATTCAATGAAATAAATCAAGTTACAGCCTCTATGAACCTCGAGTGGTTTGGTAAGATAACAACTGCTACAAGGATTCACTCATACAGTGCTTATTCTAATTATAATTGAATATTTTAAGGGCCAATTAGCAAATCATTGACATTCGGTTTATTTTCTCACGTAGAATTATCCCTATCTAGTTTACTACCACTTACATGATTATCGGAAGATGAAAATATTAATGTTTAAGTAAAAATCAGATAACATACTAAATCACAGAAATCGTTTTAGAATCTACTGTTCGGTCTCTGCTAAGACAATATCATAAGTGAAATTAATTCCTCGTGTCAGTGGTTCACGTCATAAGAATAAATCTAATGTACCAGTGAATCTTTCGAGCTTCGATAGAATGGACGAACATCTTTTCATTTCAACGTTCTATACTTTACGAGCGACTCGAATAAGCGACTTTTAATGTCGCTGAAACGAGCAACGCGTTAAATGAAATCTTAACTGCTTTCTGAGGTCAGTGAACGCCCAGAACTACAGGGTGTCCTATTTAAATCGATCCACTCGAGTATCTCCGAAACTGTCATCGATATTCAAAAATGTTTTCAGACATCACAAGTTTTAATATGTATAACTAATCCATAGCTGATACCATTTAACTTTAGTCTGAAACATTTTTTGGGTCGATTTAAATGGAACACCCTGTATATCGATAATTCTGCGGTTCCAGCGGTTGCTTCTGTAATAGTGGCCTGTTACAGCGCTTAACGAGCTTCGTTATTAATCGAACGCCATCAATTCACCTTTGGACAAAAAAGAAAACGTCCTACCGACCATATTTCGGTAGAGGACCGCTATGACGGAAATTCTGGTGGTCTCACCACGCAAGAAAGACATTAGAAACCGAAATGTCACCCACATAATTCGCGAGGATCTATCAAAACGACCGCGACAATTTTTCTGGCGGGGATGCGAAGACGTTAATTAAGGGGACTAGGCAGTCAGATTTGGTAAAGATCTACCTTTTCTTTGGAAATGAATCCAAATTGTAACTACTACACGTTCGGGCAACGTGTATTAATACTATGAACTGTAAAAAAATTTCTTTTGGGTAATATATACATAAATATATAACGGCACCACAGTCGTTTTTGTCTCTTTCATTTAATGGATCTCAAGTGTTGAGGATTATTACAAATACAATACAAACGTACAAAACTCGAAAATCGATTCATCGGTCAAAGGTACAAAAAATTGGGTTTTATTATAATAACATTATAATGGGAATTATAATATATAACTGTGATAAAAGTAAAAATATTGTCAAATGACAACGAATGAAAAATGGTATTAGACCAGTTTGAAAGTGTTAAAATGTTCTGGTGAATCATTTATATGTCATGTAACATACACAAGCATACAAGAAAATATGGAAAGTTTTTTAATTACTTGGAAATGAAAGGGTTAAACGGGATAAAATGAAATTCTGCGTAGCCCGTTAATTACAGATGATTGAGAGACGAACTCGCAGAAGAGACGCGAACCTGAAAGAAATTCATTAAGAGTGGCCTGGCCCGTTCCAGATAGCACGGAAAGTGGGCCGCCAGCGACGGAACACTTCGTTATAATTTGAAACCTTTGCCGTGAACTCACGCGTGCGTTTATAATTAATATTGTCGGTTGTGAAACCACCGCGACGAGGAAAGTTCTCATTCGCGTTTCTCAAACTTGAAACGAAATTACACTTTCGGTAGAGAATGGTACAGAGAAAGGGAGAGAGAGAAAGAGAGAGAAACGAGAGAAAGATTTCAGTTTTCCGAAGGAAAACGGAAACTTTCTTTTTAACACGTTGACTGCCACAGTGAAATAGGCCGTATGTAGCCAGACACACTTTATTTCGTTTTTTCAAGTCATAATAATAGAATCCCCATGACCCTCCGATCCAGAATCTCTATGGATTCCAATGCAATATTATAAAACGGCTATGTATACTATTTAATCTGTTACTTTTTACATTTTTAAATTACTTATAAAGTATTTCACATTTTTTAAAAATTCCGAAATTCCCGGGATTAGTTAAACATATTAAAACTTGTGATTTTTGAAATCCAAAAAACAACCGGGATTGTATTCCCTAGTCATAAATAATCGAAAATATATGCGGTTAGTTAACAGAGGCCGTTAATTTTGTTTTAAACTATGTCCACCCATATTCGAGTGACGTGCCAGTTAAAGTGTTAATTGAAGATAAACTTTTGGTCTACGTTTACGGCTGCACTTAATGCATCAAAAAATTCGTATCGAACGATCCAGCCGATTTTTGAGGAACCCATTTCGCGAAGCCTTCGTAGATTTTATACCCACGAATGCACCTTTTCGTTTCCAACATCGGCGGTACAAACCGAATTATCACAGAATCCTATGGAATATATATAGAAAAAAAAAAGAACAACCGAGACACAACTTCTCTCGGTCGTTCTATTCCGAATATCCATCCATGACCGAGTCCGTTCGCAGAACATGAATCGCTAGCTCGCACAGCTTTCGGTCGTGTTTTCTGCATTTCCGGCAACAACGGTGGACCAAACGCGTGGGAATTACTGGGGGATAGGTAGGCGAAAGAAAAAAGGACGAGAAGAACGAAGTCATCGAGCCGAAAAGTCGACGAGCAACGGAAAAACGGTGCGTGAATACGCCCGCAGTGGTCCGGGATTGAAGATTCCTAGTGCTGTTATTCCAAAAAAGTCGACTTTCTCATATCGATATCCATTGAACGTATACTATTTCCGAAATATCCATTAGTCCCGAAAATGAAAATGTTATAAAAACTTAATGCATATTTTAATGGAAACGCTTGAAATCGAACGTTTTAAGAATGGTGGTTTTCATCCGATAAAACTGTTTTCATTCTTCGAGGTGTCCTGATGATCTCATTCATAATTCATATATTAAATAAAGTGTGAAATAAACTCTTTTTCAAAATTGTTCAGGATAATTAAAAAATTGAGAAAGAAACGATTAAACAAACATAAGATATATTACAGTACAACATCATTAAGACAGGGATATTTTTTTACACAAATGTCATCTGCAATGTGGACGACTGTGGCGGCGTTGTGACTCGCTACTGAGAACCTCGTTACCCGGTTTTAACCGTGCTCGCAGAGCCGTTTGGGTTCGTTATAAAAAAAGAAAAAAAAAATGCTCTTTCCGCCTCGCTCTATTATTAACTACGAAATTTCTTTATGCTTCGCGGCTGCTCGTCGGTGGAATTTCATCAACGATATCGTTTCAACGGGAAAATTATGATTATGCGCAGAAAATGGGATCGAAGTGACGTAGAATGTGGGATGGTTTTTGTTCGATTGGGTCGACAGGGCCTCGGGAACAAAGGATAGAGAATCGTGAACCGTGAATCCAAAGATCTTCGATCAAGCACAGCCATATCAAACTCCCCGGCAAGATATATTATCGTAGAAGTGACGCGAGTTACTCGACACGGAACAGTAACTTGAAATTGAGTTTGATGCCATTTGGAAACTTTCGTCAAACATTTGCCCGTACACGGGGATTCATATTCAAGGTTAGAGTGTCGTTATAGCGAACCGAGACACTGATCGGATTGGGAATTGGCGACGGGAACAAGATCGAAATGTTTACCTAAACTGGCGTCGTAGGTGTTCATGTACTCGCTGGTCATGAACTGCGAGACCAGGGCAGTTTTCCCGACACCAGAGTCACCGAGCAAGACGACACGATACTTGGGGATCTCGTCGATCTCGTCGCTTTCGGTGCTGTCCGCGGCGACACCCTGTCCGCTGCAGCAGGAACCGTCGAACGGCGATCTCTCGCCCGAGACGTTACTGTTTCTGCGAACAAAATTAACAGCAAAGTCGAAGAAATTCGAAAGATTCGATATACATTAAAAGCTGAAAGGGTAAATCTTTACAATAAGGGATCGACCGATTTCGATGATTTTTGAATATGTTGTAAAGGTCACATCCACCCTGAGTAGTATTGCGAAGGTTTTAGTTGGGAATCGCCGTTAGTTTTCCATGACTACAATTTGCTAGTGTGATTGAACTGTTCAGTAATATTTCCCCGGTTGTTAATCCTTGGATCTAGCAAACCTGTTATGTTGTTGAGGTATCTCAATTATTCGTTCTTTTTGTAATTTCTGTAAGTATAAAGTAAAGTAGATCTCAAACGGCAAAAGAGCCCTTGGTACCGAGAGAGAATCAAGCTCAGACAAGCTTATTCAGCCTGGGGTTATGGACCACGTTGTAATCCTAAGCCGTTGAAAGCTACGCAACGGCTAAGGGAAATTGAAATTCTCGAGATCACGAGGCTCCCTCACCCCCTCGTCAACAAGCTAAGTCCCTCTGAAGACTGGGAAATAGACAGAGTGCTATACATCACACTTATCTGAGTTCAACCGAGGGGGTTTCCGATAGGATCGTACAATAGATCATAAACGCTGACAAGTTGCGAGGGCACGCCCATCGCGTGTGCCCAATGAACCTCGAATGTCCCAGTTTGCCACGTGGGAAACGGCCAATCGTGGGCGAGGCGATAGTGTCCGTTGTAAATATTAATTGTCGCCTTGTGTTCTGCAGAAGATAGGCAATTAGATTGAAAAATAAATTAAATTTCACGAACATTAAAAGGAGATCTTGAATCTTATTGCACTTGCACCTAAAGTATAATAAAATCATATAAAAACAAGCAAATGATTAAATATTGATTTTTTTGCAATTCCTTGCTTCATATTCAAACAATTTTCACGCCATTGGTTAGAAGTGTTTATTTACGTAATATTGTTTATTCAATGGTGAAATCTGTATTTCTTTCTTTTCAATTTAATTAATTACCTGTCCCCAATTTTTCAAGTTGAAATCTATATGTTATCATTAACGAACAAGTGATTCTTAAGTAATACAGTCGTCAAAAAAAGTCGTAAGGCAAGGGGTTAATAAAGGTGATAATTAGAAGGAAGAAATTTCTGTTCGACACGTGCAACACGTAAGTCAATAAAGATCTCAATTTGCATGAACGTCCATCAATCCTCGAGCCAAGAGTCACTTGTAACATTCTGAACTAAAAAGTGAGCGCTAACGTGACACAGTCGCATTAACATATCTCCTAACGCGATAAATTTTCCCTGCTATTCACTCGTTAATCCACTTTTCAGCCACGAGCGGCCGATTCTCGAACTCGACAACGTCGCGCGACCAGAGTGCAACAGGTCCAAGTGCAGAGATCGAGGAACCGTGCCTTCCACCAGCTACGCCCTGTTTCCACTTTCCAGGAAGTTACTTACGTTTAAACAACTTCGGAATTATTAACTATCGCATTCGGCGTGGAACGCTTGCCTATCCCCACGACGACTGAATCAGACGTCTATTCATTCGTGGGAAATCTGACGCGCGCAGCACGGATTACTCGAGTAACTTACAGAAACGGTGCGCCATTCGTAAATGGAATAACGGAACTAAGTCATATTGTCCCATCTTAGTTTTGCAAATTGCTCAAGACGCCAAAACGTTCACTGAGTTTTGTCCAAGACAACTGGTCTTAATTGAAGGTGCTGGATTCGTTAGTTCAGAGGATGGCAGTGTAATTTAAAATAGAACTTTAAGTGAATCTAAAATGATACACTATGTCTACGATTACAGATAGTTATTCTAGAGATACTACACGCTACTGCTGACGCTCGAATCCCATACTTCACTGATGCTCAAATTGCACTTTCATTTTTTAACATTAATTTTTAAATACCAGGTACATACAAGTACATGTATTTCCTTGTTTTGATATGAATCAGAGTTTTAAATTAATAATAAAATTTGGCTGTACACAATTCTTTATATCTTACATTTTATAGGGACACTGGCAGTTAGTAGGATATTTACCCTACTTTTATATTGCACCGAAGGGCTAATAACCTGTTTATAAATAAATATATTATATTCCTAAAAGAAGACAAGGGTATCAGACTCGTCAGTATCTCGTGCTCCTAGTAGTTGCTATGCAACAGGATTCGCGAATTGGCCACATGAATTGATAATGGCGCGACGTTGAAAATCCGATAATTGTCGCGGTGATACGCGAAGCCGAGTCTCCTCGACTCGTGGAATTCGAAATTATTTATGGAAGTGTATTTTATCGCGAACATATCTCGCCGATGCTCCGGGAACATATGTCGCCGGGGGATCGAGAAAACGGGGTCGTATTTCCATTTTAACCGCATCACCCGTACCTGACGACGACGGCCTCGGATTCCTCTCGTCTTTCCCACCTGTTTTTCAGGTCGACTGGCCCGCCTCAATCGCGAGATCGACGGAACGGAAGCAATTCCGATGGGGAACTGCGATGTATTTCCCATCGACTACTCACCCTGTCCTATAAATTGGAAAAGTGTGTCGTTCTTTGACGGGGAATCATTTTGTCGCAATTTCGTTCGCGAACAACGGGCCTCGAGCACGCCGTCGATCGTGGTCGTTCCAATCTACGGCGAGATTTTATTACGCCGGTGCGTATCACGTGTCGATTACACATCAATTTCGAAATTCAATACCAATAAGCACTCAGCTGTGTTTTTAATTCTGACACGATGTATTTCAAATCGAAAATATGTACTCGACTGTGTGCTGTGGAAAAATAGAGTATAGGATGTATGCTGGAAAATCGGTAGGAATACAGGTATCATCATATAGATCCTTGACTCTCATAGATTTCGAGACGAAATAGTGGATTACTTATTGGTACCGATACGGACCCAATCCTGATTACTTAAAAAAAATGTTTAACTTGTACGTAAAAAATTAACAAAATCCAAAAGAATTCTTGTTATTCAAATAAATCTATGTTTTACCTTTAACTTGGTATTAACAAGAAACTGAACCGAAGGGGTTGTAAGCTAATGGTCCAGATCGGAATTAAATTTGTCGTGTCGGAAGTAAATCTGTCGTGAAAGGGAACGGAGGAACGTGGTCGTTGGCTCGAATACCATGGAACGTTCAATGAAAACAATCGAAGAAGGAGGGCGTTGTGGAAAAGAGGGCCACTGCCACCGAATTTCCCCGAGTACGGTGGATGGAGTTCGACTACCGATCGACACGAGTACACAGCTTATCGATCGTCGAAACTAAACGAATTTACGTGTACGACGTCGGAGACAAAGCGAACGTGTGGAAAGGAGCGAACGACGCAGCATTAGGTCGAGCTTGTTGGGAAATCAACGTAAGCCTTGGTGGGTGGTTCGATACGATCAGATGCGAATCTGAGCGTGAAAACCTTTTTCCAACCCGTCTGCATTTAAGGAGCACGATTTACGACCCACGATGTGCGTAGTAAAAATATTCCAAATAAAAACTTTTTGCTATCAAAGTTCGCCAATTGTTCTATGTAACGAAAAAAATATATATTTTATCGGTATTCTGGTCCGTTAAACGATAAAGTAATGTTTGCTGAATATACAGACCAAATTTGAAGGTAATCGATTCAGTGGTTACAGAAATATACACACCACCCGCAAAAAAACTGTTTCGAGAAAATAGCACTTAATGTTTTAGCCCGTAATAAACTTTAAATGAAATTTTAATGAAATTTTGTGAAGATATTTTTCAGATATTAAACTGAGAAAGCGAATGGTTCAGATCGTTCGGAGGACTAAACTTGAGTATTCGATTCTCCCCTCGCGGCAATATTTAGACTTCGTAATGACTCGTTTGACGGGAATAAATATATTCGTGCCATTTATATACATATAGACTGTATTAATTAGACGGATCAACCAAGAATTTAATTCATCGACGTGATTACCATCGACTATTCTATTTCGAATCTCCTTCGAAAATAAGTACACCAATCCCAACCCACGGGATCTGTAATATCATCGCCGACGAATAAGCATGATCGAACAGATTAGGTGTCTATTGTTCGCTCGAGTGAATCATCAGGGGAACATCGGTACACATGGATAAATCGCGGGAACATCCCCTATCCGAGGGACATCGTAACCGTCGTATAGCGAACGTCTTCGATCAAGGATTTAATATTCGATTGAGATTCACTCGATCACGATCGTTATCCGACGATTATCCCAGACTGTTCCCTTGGCTGGCTCATTGTGTAGTCGCGAACGTGCCGTATCCCAGCCAAGAACAATGCTTCGAGCATTCCTCCGGCTTGGCACGTGCGTAAACCAAGCGCACCAAGATGGCGCTGAAGGTGCCGGGAAGAGTTATATATAAATGGGGATCCCAGTAGGAAAACAAAAAAAAAAAAAAACAAAAAAAAGAAACTGTGCAAATATTTACACCGTCTATTTGGAGAGTAGCGGCTGAACGCATCGGGACTGGGGGACGGCCTCGTCTCTTCTGCGGATACGACGTAATAATTCGCGTAATAATCGACGACGATTACGATCTCGACGACGCACGAGTTCTAAAACAGTGTTTCTCAACGTGGTACGCATGTTCTACCGAGGGGCAATTTGAATACAGTAAATTCTCGACGAATGTTCGAAGGCTACTCGGCACTTAACATTAAATATTTCATAATCTAATGGACATATGCAGCTGAAACAAATATCATTGGCTTCAAATTTCCAAGTTATTTCAATGTGCTAAATCTCATTAAAAAGTCACCATTATACCTGGAGACCTCTCATTGTCAGTGCCAAGGAGCCTTCGAACACCGATGATTTACCGTATTTTAGGGGCCAATTAGCAAATCATGGACATTCGTCACCTCATAGAGAACAGTTTTATCTAGGTGCTTTTTTAATTTGAAGCAGCTGTTAATGTTACACTTCTTCAGAAAATGATTTATTATTATTCTAGGGGGGTATCAAGATTTCGAAAACGTTGAGATGAGGCATGATCCAGAAAAGGTTGGGAAACACTGCTCTGGGAGATATCTCTCGAAATCGCTTCTCGGCCAATGGGAAACGGTAACAGTCGTATTTCGCGAGGTCTAACGCAGCTTTACGGAGATCTGAAGCGTTTTTGGGAATTTACTTGTCCATTGGAACGGATTAGAGGAGATTAACCCTTTAAGATCGTAACAATTCGAATGAAACATTACTATGAAGAAAATCGTGTATCGAGCGATCGAGAGTTTATTTCAACTTCTCGAGAAATGTCAACAAATGAACGAATGTCTACGAGTTCAGTTGGCTTCCGATATTCTGCAATATCACACGGAAAGTACACGGAACGAGGAACTTGCGGATGTATCTGTTTAATAACAGCACGGTCGAGTTTCTAGAGTGGCGTACGGACCGGAATACAATCGCTGGAAACATTGTATCCCTGATTGACTGTCGTCGAGTTGTATCACAGCGGCTGGGTATCGTCGTCTTACGATAGGATCCATGAACTGTACATTTTCTTGATCTCTATTTAAATTAATGAAGCTCAGTATTACAAATGTGATTATTTCTGTTATTCGAAAATTTGTAAACAATCACTTTCAATAATATTATCAAGGAACTGCCATTACCTTTTACCCTATCTGTACAGTCAACAAACTGTCGGTGTTATAAGGTTTCCAGCGAATGTATACCAGTTTGTACATACATACATAATACAGAGAGAGAGAGAGAGAATATAATCGGAAACAAAGTTTCCCCGGATTCCCTGGTTTAATTGTTCACCCGGAATCGTCGAATACCGGAACGCTTTCCGAGGAATCTCGTTAATCCAAGCTAGGTCGCGCGTAAAACGTGAATTTATAGTGGTTGTTCCCTTTCGTAAAAGGTTGATGAGGAACGGAGAAACGGGACGACGAAAACCTTTCACGGTGAACCCAGGGATACCAGGGCCTCCCCGCGTGAAAACTTATTTTCCTGAGCACGTTCCCTGCGGGATCGCTCTTCTCGTCGGCCTAACCCAAGAACCACGAAGGCGAGGCCGTGACTATTTTCGGGAGCAGGTCCGCGATGGTGTGTTACGGGGTAGCCCGATGAACGCACACAGCAGGGGCAGAAGGAGGGAGAAAAAAGAATATCTTACTGAACATTAAATATTTCATAAAGTAATATATGCGGCTGAAACAAATATCATTGTCTTCAGAATTCCAAGCTCTGTCACTGTGCTAAACCTGATTAAAAAGTCACCGTTACATCTGGGGACCTCTCGGTATCAATGCCATGGATCATTCGAATACTCATCGAGGATTTGTTGTAATCTTCGGCGTTCGAGGGGTGGGGTACGTATAGTTCGGTGATTTCAATTTTCCGCCGAAATTTATGCGGTGAAAATCACCTTGGACGAGCTCGTTACGTCGCGTAGAAATAGCGCACAGCGTTAGTCATCATTTTCTACCGACAAATATAAATAAAAGTACTATTCTTGCGGCGACGGCTGGGCCACCCTTCTGGCAAGAATGTCGAGTCTGTCGCGAATGTCATCCCGTGCACCAATTATCAGTTCTCATCCCGCCCAGGTGGAGATATCCGTGAAATTAATTGGTACGAATTCGACGTGTTCGGCTGACAAGTGGCCCGAGTTCGATATTTATCGTTCCCAAAATCAACGGAGAAGCCTTGGGACGATGGCCACGAAAGCTGATCTTGGATCAGCGTGAATCATCGATTATTAGTCACGGACTAATTTAATTAATCACGTATTCATCCTCCAGGAAAAATCATCTTTTATATTTAGTCACGAAGATGTAGTTCGGAATTAGGAACATGCGCTTGGACTTGGGGAGAAAAAAAGAGCGCGTACAAAGGAAGCTCTATAGATTCGTCTGGCAGACATTCAACGAGCTTTACCACGTGCGAATATATACAGACATACGAGTCGACGTGTGTGCCATCGCGGATGATTGCCAGAGCATAAATCGTTCGGTCGAAAATCGAGCATAATTTTCGCGAACGAAGGTGAACGCAAGGTTCCGGGTGCCTTCGCCGTGATTTTTCACTGTTCCTCGAATCGCTTTTCGGATAAAGAAACGATAGTTTATTCGAGTGGACAATCGCGAAGTCGAGAGTTGACGTGTGCGGTTCAAAACAGTTTAATTCGTCCCAAAACTCGAGAACTGGTCCCTCCACGCTCTCCACTCGTTAATTCAAACACGTTTCCTGTGACTGTTTCTCTCTTTCACCCCCTGCGTCAAATGGATAAAAGGGCCCATTCAGTATTGCGTTTTCAGTTGCAGCTACAATTTTTCCATCGGGTTTCGTTCTCCTCCACTGGAATTCGATTCAAACTCCACTTCTGGGGCTCGAGCGATTTTCCTTCGATTCGAAATCTCTGTGAAATTTAGGGGCTTAATGGAAAAGGAGCGCACGCCATAATAGTATAAATTTACACAACTACTTTTAGGGGAAATAATTTTCTTAGGAAATTCAGTACTAATTGGTAAGTATTTTCGTTGGTAATCGAAGTAAATGGTAAATGGTAATTAGTGTCAAATCATGACTTGAATATTCATATTATATGACATTTTCTTTAATAATCTAAAAATGATTTTCTACATCCCAAATCGGATCGAATAAAAGAGAATCATAATGTCTATACAAAAACTTGTTTCTCCGAATAACCGTAATCTTTTCTTTAGATTGTTATGAACGTGTTATATGATATGAATTTAGTTATAGTAATCAATAGTATCATCTACTTGTTAACTACGAGTTAATACCGAATTTCTTGAATTATAGTTATTTTTTCGAAAAGTACTTGTGTAAATTTACTTATAGTATTGTTGCGTGTGCCTGTTTTCCACTAAGCTTCTCTTTTGTTGCAAGTTCTCCAAGGAGAGAAAGTAACATGGGCCTCATACCTGCTAAGAATTTCGTTGCTTTCAATATCAAGGAATTTTAATATGCTTCTGTTTACGAAAGGGTATCTGTCATGGTCCTTGAAGTTCATGGAATGGACACTAGATGATTAGTGATTTATGTTTGAGGTACAAGAAACTGAAAATCAACGTAGATGTGGCATGTGCTTCCTTCTCACTAAACCCTTCAATTATGGAGTTGATTTCAGACGGTCAGAAAATTACAATAATTATGGTACTCGATCGAACAGAACGGTGTTCAGTAAAATCGAGAATGTCGTCTTTGCAGAAGTCGTCGATTAAACCTGATGTAGCAGCTATTGGAACGTTAAATGAGAGTGCTGTTACAAGAGAAACGGAAAGATCCAGTTAATCTAGAAACATTTGATCACTTCGCTCTCGTCCTCGCCCCTCCCACCTCCATTTAACTGTAACCTAACAAACGTCGATCCTAATTCCCTGGGAAGATGAGTTCCTTTTCTCGAGCCACTCTCCTGGGGGACTTCTCTTCATTGAAGTCGAGTTACTCACCCCGACTACCGCGGGATCATCCTATCGTTCGACGCCGTGACACTCTCGAGTCGGGGATATAATATAAGATCGTCCGTAGAAGCATATTATCGAGCACCGGTCTCATAGGAAAAGAATCCACCTCTGTGTCTATAATACCATGAAAAGTACGGATCCGAGTGACGTTATTCCTTCTGGCGATTGTTGTCTGAGAAAACAGTTTCTGTTTATATTTAACGATGAATCAGGATAACGTGCTACCGTTAAGCTAGACCGCCGGCGAAACACTCTCAAACTTCATGAAACATGTTTGTATATAGTGTGTTTGATTATATTTCACTACTTTTCTGCTTCTATAACATTCAGCTTCGTAAACTTTAAACTCAAGTTTTCTCAGTTTCGAAACTAGTGGAGATAGAACAATTAAGAATTACATCGACGTTATGTTTATTTTAACAGATACCTCAAAAATCGAGTATTTTCCAAGGTATTTTTTGGACGGTACTCGAGAAACTTAGGTTACCATAAGGGTTAATTTCTATCATTATCTGATCAATATCCATCGAGAGACCAAAGGAAGACTGAAATCGGACATGTCCACGGCATTCACTCGAACATGGCTATCATTCCACTTCACCAGCCGTTTCAAGGGGTTGGAACGATGACCAGAAAAGCTGGGCACCGTCTGGAGAGGGTCGCTCCCGCGACGCATCGCGCCGTCGTCGTAAGAACGTTGACTCACCGTCGGAGACGCATACGTCGCGAGCCATTCGGGATTCCACGAATATTCCTTCGCCGCGTCGTAAAAGCCGCCAAACACGTCGAACATTTTTCGTCTCCTCCTCCTCCTCCATTTCCCCTGGTCCACGATGTACGTATGTATATGTGCGTCTTCTCTGAACACGTGACCGCGGACTTTCCCTCTCCCGCGACCAGATTCCGGTTTAGAATAACCCGAAGCTCGGAGAGAGATTTCAGGCCATTCGCGAGTACACGTTCCCGAGTTGTGTTCGTTCGTGTTCCTGGTTTCTTTGCGCCTTTTAGAGGACCGTTTGCTCGAGAGCTACAGGAGAGACCACGAGACCGCGTGGAACTTTCATTCGATGATGGAAGTCGCTAAAGGTGCGTGAAACAAATTCAATTCGGGGCCCCATGGATCGAGAGACCTTTTCGTGCTCCACCCCCTAACTGGATTTGTCGCCACAGGCCGTAATAGAAAGCTGGGAGAGATTGGATTTGAATTGCGTTCGTACATTTTGTACGGGGGTGGGGTTGGGAAAAAAAAACGGACGACTTGGGGTTGTTGATAGGGAATGCTTAGTTGACGTAGAAAATGGTCCGGTAAATGTATATTCTGCAATGAATGATGTTAAGTGAAATATAAACAATAAGCAGTGATTGAAATATAAATATGTAATAGGTAATAGTAGTTGGTAGTATTATTAAATCAAAATTACTAATTAGTAGACTGGCGGATCTGTATGCATTTTTTACAAACGTGGATGCACAAAAGGCAATAATTTTTTTCTCTTAATGGTTGCATCTCTAAATACTAATAACAATTAAAAATTCACATTGACAGTAAGATATAATTTTATTAAATATTGTAATAAATATCTATTCAGTAGAGATGATATTATAGTGTGTTTAATTATTTCACTATTTTCCTGTTTCTATAATATTAAACTTTACACTCAGTTTTCTCAGTTCAGGAACTAGTGGAGATAGAACAATTAAGAACTAAAGCGACGAACTGTGTCGCCTAGATTGTGGGTGACCCGATTGTCAAGGAGGTTGAAACAATCAACGATAAAAGCGATTGGTTACAATGCTCCACAGTCAATAACTTTACCAAACTACTCATTTGACACAAGCACGATCTAACAATTTCGTCTGTTCTGTACAGTAAACGAAGCCGTCGACAGCCTGGTCGCGCAGTCGCTGAACGTCACGTCGGAGTCCCTGTCGGTCGAGTCGATGAAATCGGTGCAGAGCGTGCAAACGAAATCAGTGATCGAGTCGTCGACGTCGGTCAAGTCCGTGTCCTCGTCGTCGACCAAGTCGCATCAGTCGGTGGAATACGAGGAGACGGTCGAGTACAGTGACTAGGCGAAGACGTATCCACCATCCCAGACAACCCCTTTTATTCGACTTCGTTCCACGCCGGGGGAGGATTGGTCACGGTATCTCTGACTCGACTCCACCATAGGAACCACGACCACTTCAATCCCGTTTTTTTTTCTCCTCGTACGAGGATTCACCAAAGGAATCAGACACACGGGGACGGTTTAGTCGCGTGTCCCTTTGAAAACCAATGGAAATTCAGCCTCGATCCACGGGGAATGTGTCCTTTCACGTTCTGCATTTTCATTCGAGATCCAGACGGGTGAAAAGAACGTGCTAGGAATGTTACGAACGATGATTCGACCGAGAAGACGCAACGGGGATGCACTTGGGGACCAGGATGAAAGGTGCACCAATAAGTCGAGTCGAACGACCGGTGACGATCGACGGAGGTCAAGGCGACCATAGTATAGTCGGGCTGCTATACAGAAATAACCATCCGCGTTCTGTGCGCCCCGTGTTAATGGAAAAAAAGAAGAAGAAGAAGAAGAAAACGAGGGGGAACGTTTTGGAAGCCTGCGAGCTGGCTCTCCTCCAATCTCGGCGTGGTTCACCGCCAAATACCGACTCCCCCCTTTACTTTTCTAACCCAGGATCCACTCCACGGTCGTCTAGCCGATCCTCTCTCCTTTTGAATAACCCTCTCCGTCATTGTCACGTTCCGTTCCCCCCCAGACTTCATCGTCGAGACCGTTCGATGATAATCTTTGTACAATAAACTTTCTAAGATGTTGGGTTCTTATTGTTCGTTTGACGAGTAATCTTGACCTCCCCCCTTCCCCTAAACCCACTACTTCCTTTCGTGGATGGAAAGTAGACGAGGCGGTTTTCGCGATAATGTCGAATTTCAACAGGTGCAACGGGGTATTGTGAAGGGGTTCACGGAGGCTGAGATTAGAGGGCGTTCGATGATCGATAAGTTAATAGTTCGATAAATAAATAACGTTCGTCAGCACGGATATCTAGTTTTCACTGATGTGCAGTTGATCTAAACGTTCTCAGTTGAGAAATTCAAGTATTCCTACCAAGAGTAAGTAAAAATATGTAAAAAAAAAAAAAAAAGAAAAAATAAGTCTGTTTAATATCGATGTTTTTTGCCTTCAAAATAACAAGATACAACATATATATCAGTGACATGGTTCAACAGCGAAACGATACCGATTTCGATGATCGTCGCGCAATATTCGCCTCTCACCCTTAACCTTTACATTGGTCGTCGATATCACTGGGCAAAGATGGGGAAGAAAATATCATCGTTGGGAGCTAGGGACGCGAGATAATTCGTCCTGGATAGATGCAGTTTTCGAGATCCAATTAACTGACGCGAACGAGACCCGTGAAAAAGGTCAAACCGACGTTTCCTCCGTTTACGATCAGTCAATATCCACAGTTAGGGTGGCGAAGGGGCAAGGGGGCGGGGTGGTACATCTTTAAATTAAAGGAAAAGTCGAACACCGAACGTGGATGTCGGTCCGACAAAAGTGAGATTACAGTCTGCTTTCTCTGCGATCGACAAAGAGCATCCGGGAGCTCTGGGTCTCCAATCTTCTCCGACTGAAAGCTGCCGCTGCGTCGTTTATACGCGTCGGAAAGGACAACAGGAAGTACCGTTTCGACTCGAAGCCGATCCATTCTCGCGAACGATGGAACGATCAGGTAGAAATACATTACGTTTACGTGTACGTGCACGTTCGTCGTCAATAAAACGAGAGAGAATGGGCAGGATCGCGATTGTTTTCAAATTGCTCGGATATAACCGTTTTCACGTGAAACTACGGTGGACAATGGTCTGAAAAAAAAAGGAACTTCATATAACGAATTGAAAATAGAGACTACTTCATCGTTCTTTGTTCGATACATATGATATTTTATTATGTGCGTCTAGCAAATTAAACCCTATAGACTGTCCTTAATCGTTATCTGCCATTCGAATGATGTATTGTCTATCCCTGACGCGGTATGTCACATTACGAAACGTGTTTCATTCTTTTATGTAACAGAAACCCCAACCCCCGGTTTGCCTTTCATGTTGCTAATCAGCCCGGTTAATGAAAAGCTCAACCCCCAAAGTCCCTGTGCCATTATTAAATTGTGACCCAAAAGACTACTGTTGAAGACATCGAAAACATTTTTTTTTGTTTAATGACAAGTATACTCAAGGTCAACTTTGTTTTATTAGGAGGAATCGTATATTCTTTTAATGTATTTCTCGATGCTACTCGTTATTCCCCAAATAAAGTACTAAGTCACTTATGGCGAATTAGTGTATCAAAAAATATACTATTCCATTTAAAAAAAAAAAAGTTGACCTTCATATGACCTCTATGCATCCATATAGAAAAAAGTTACATGAGAAACTTTTGTCTGAAACATTTTTTTACATATTCGAGTAGATCGATATAAATGGGATATGTGTATACCTGATTCTAAACAATTATCATAAACTCCAAAAGTCATCTCGTTCGAATAATTTTGAACGATACTGTACATCAATTAAAAAAAAAATGGCGAACAGCTTAGTCAAACATTGAATATTTTGCAACCGACTTAAAGTTGAAAAGGGGAAACCTTACGTTTACATACAATTCGACCGACGAGCAATTTCTTTCGGATTTGAAGGTTTCCAGACGTCATCAGGACCCACGAAAAACGATAGCGACCGTGGTTCTCCCGACGGTCCTACCCCGAAACGAGCGTCCGTATCGTCCGTAACGAGATCGCCCGAGGGAAGGTTCATCACGGCGCGAAGCCGAGGGTAAACCGGTAAGTCAAGGGATAAGAGTGGTCCCTCTCTGAAATTCGTCGGTCCTGGGCGAGTGGACTCGTGGGACCGGCGGAGAATGTCGCTGAAAGTTTTACAGGCCACAAAGTTTCCGTGGAGGTTGTGGGTTGGGTATTCGCGTTTTACGACTTCCTGCGCGGCGGAGTAGCGAGCCACTCTCCCCCCTCCCGCCGCATGCCCGGAGAATTTCAATATCTTCTCCGGTGAATATGGTAAATAAGCACGGGACGAACACTCCGTAAACTTTACGGGGAAATGAACAAAGCGTGGATTGAAAGAGGAATGGCCGAAAAGAAAGAGGTTTTGTGGTAAACACGAGAGAGGGAGCAGAACGAACCATTTTGATGACGGCAGGGCTGGTAGGGTACACGCATTTTTCCTTTAACGAGATTACGTGGTATACCTGGACCTGGATCGATTGAGGCACCTGTTCATTTCGTTCCCTGATCCATTTAACCGAATGCAGGGGAGACCGTCGCAAAATCGGGATGTCAAGGATAAAATCTTATAATTTGGATATTATTACAGTAAAAAAAGAATCTGCCTACCAGTTCGTTGGTTGTACAGTAAAGACTCCATGAGAGTTTGAAATTCAGGTCCATCTAAAAAATCTATTGCTTTCCCGAAAAATAAAGCGCTTGGCACATTCTACGGCCTCCCCGGAGGTGGGGATGAAGTAGAAACTCTCACGAGGAACTTCTTATCCAATCCTCATAGAGTTTTTACTGTACATCGACAAAAAGGGTGCTTTCAAACGAACAGGAAATAGTTTAGCGAGATAATTTGTTGTACGTATTCACTATCAATTACGGTAAGACAAGAAAAGAAATAAAGTTGGCTTACGAGCTAGCAGTAAAATATGAAAAATCTATTCTTGACTCTCGGAAAGAAATAACTGTTAATACTACGTATCATTATTGCATTTTTCTAAATTTGGAAAGTTTATATTATGAAACTGGTACGTTTGTCCCTGGTCCTTACTTACTTGTTACAAGTAGATGCGATCTCCAGGTAATCGTGGCATTCCCACGCCATGTCTTCATCCCCAGGAAAACAATTTTTCATTTCGCTGGTGCAAGACTTCCCAACGCGAAGCAACCTTCATACAAGCCACTTTTTTCCATATTTGTTATAATAACGAAGACATTTCGGGTGAGCGAAGTTATTACCTCTCTTCTATGGGTTCTTTCATTCGACGCTGCCCCGTTTCCTTCTCCATTTTCCATTCCCTGTTTTTCCTTCCACCTGCGCAAGGTTACGCAAACCATCGTACCAAATTCTCTCTGATGTGGCCTCGACAACATAGATGAAAGGAAACGGAGAGAATCCAAGGGGGGAAAGAAAAATCTCTTAGAAACTACCGAAGACTTTGGAAATTCAAGGAAACGTTTACGCTAATTGGCCGGAACACCAGGTAGGGGTTGGAGCGTGATTTACGGTTCCTCTTTCGACCGATCTGTCGTGGTTGTCCGCGCGCGACAAACTCGATTCCTTATCGAAACGCGATTTCGAAATAAACAAAACCCTCCACCGATCGGCGAACTCCCCTTATCGGTGGTATCGCGAACGGATTAAATTTTCGACGACGGTTCCTGGATTCCTCGTAAATTTTTATCGCTGGAATCAGTTTCCATTCGGGGCAGGGGGGCGGTGTACAAACATCGTTCCCGTGGGTATAAAACGATTCTTCACTGTCAAGTAGAGGCGAAGACTTATGGGCTCCCGTAACGAAAGTCGCCGGGAATCGAACGTAACGATCGCGCGAGGCGTCGCGATACGGCCCAGACCATGTCGGAAGGAACTCGGTCTCGACTCGTGGTATATTAGGAGGCGAACAGAACAGGGGAGGAGTGTTTAATTTCGTGCCACGAGAATGAGGTTCAATTAAAAGCGGGCGATTTGTAAAACGGCGATGTTAATTGCCGGTATGTTGTAACGAGTCGGCTACACTGCGTTGAATTCCATTTATACTACGTACGCTGGATTTACGCGGAATGTTCCAATGCTTTTTTTTTTCATTTTCACCTACTTTGCAATGTTCGGTGGAGTGAATAAAAGTTATTAGACGTTATAGAGTTCTTTATGAGCTTGTTTTACCGTGTTTGTACGAGCACTGACACAATGTCTCCATCGTGATATACGCATCCGTGTTATACAGGTGTCTACCCCATCTATTCTGATAGTCGCTTTTATTCTTATGGAGAAGAGAATACCGAGACTTCAAGGGAAGCAAATTATCAAACTTTAAATCGATATTCCTAGTCACCATGAAATAGGAAATGAAAACGTGCGGATAGATAGCCCCAACATCTTCGAGGTTTATTTTCGCTCTATTTTTTCTCTTAGCCAGAGACTCGTCCTTTCGAAATTTCAACGGCAACGTGAAATAGGACGGACACCGTGGTCAATTGATTTCGTTTAGAGTCTGGTCGTGTAAGGTCCGCGAGCATGCTCCATTAATTTCGTTCCCTCCGGGGGCTTACGCAGGCGAACGAGCAAGTACGAAAAATGAGCGTGGCAAGAGGAATACGAATTGACGAACGAGTGGTACCAAAGCGCCCGAGCGTGATTAGATTACCCCTGGTCGCGATGCAATTGGAATTGCCTCGATTTTTCGATCGGAAATCGTATTACGGAGATGAAACATCATCGAACCCTTTCAATTAACGAATACCAGTAAACAGTCGGGAAATCGGTGGTAATGCGACGAAATCTAATTAATTATATATCGAACGATGGACACACATGCCATGGGAATTAAATATTGTCCATCTACCCCCTCCCCTCCCCCCATAGAGTGAAGGGAATAACGCGACGTGTGTGATCGACGAACGAGTAATGTCGTGCATTTCGCTTGTCATTGTTCCCGTTCTGGGTCGGATTGAACGCAATTTAATGGAAACGAAAGGAAGCCTGGAATACTAATCCTGGAAAATATGGGAAAGCCCGTCATTGGGCCAGTGCGCTAGGAACGCGTTCTATTATCGACCTCGAAATTTCCGAATTGTGGAACATTCAGTCACGCGGACAAGAACTTCGTATGGAAAGTGTAACGAGTCGAGAGGATATTCAAAGCTTTCAACCTCGAACTTTATATATCAACTGTCAATGTTCAACTTCGAGCCTTAAACTTTCAATTTCAACTATTGATGTTCAACTCTGAACTCCGAATTAGATTTTAACCTGCAATTTTTAACAATCACCGATCAACTCTCAAGTTGCAACTTCAAATCTTAACTTTTTGGTTGTTAACATCAAACATCATGGTATCTATCAACTTTAAATTCTCAACAACTGATTTTTACTGTTCATAGCAATTACGTAACCGCGACTGTAAGAATCTACGATTCAAAATAAATCCATAGGTTTCAGAAATTCAGAATTTTGAATTTTTAACCCTTCGTCGATTATAAATGTGCCGAGTACACTTTAATCACGATCGCCTAAGCGTCATATCTAAATGTGTATAATCGAAATCAAAAGAGCTTTTCCATGCGTACGGATTACCTGCTACTGTTGACGGACGTGTTGCTTCGGCTGCGCCTCGAAATGATCGAATCCCCGCGATTAACGATCCCTCTATGGGTGATGCTGAATGCACGTAACCGATAAAGATCGTCCCCGGCTCGCGGGTTGTATGCCTTCTCCGGTAAACTGTGTACACGTGGCCTGATGTGATCTGGCACTGCAACACACATATGGACAAGTTAATCAAGAATCCGGCGATTGAACGAGTGGACACATTCCATTAAGCGGGTATTGCTTTTCGTTAGCCAATATCATCGCTGGTAACGCTACTTATCATCCATCGAGCTTCGAAATCGATTATTCATATCGTGGAATTGTAGAGTTCGTGTACACAGCGACGATATCAAAAAATAAACTATTACATTCGCAATGATGTGAAAAAACAATAAAACGATCTGAGAATTTACAATTTAGTCCCTGACTAAAGACCACAAATCTTCCATGTTGTATTTGTCATCAGAAAATTCGGTCGCTCAAATTTCATGCTAAACCAAAATCTTTCTCCTTTTTCACTTTTTCAGGTGACCCAATCGCCAAACGAATTCCACGATTAAAGAGACGCGACCTTTGGCTTTCGGTGCACCTGAATTTTCCCCGATGGAAAAACGCTCGACATGTCGAAAATACGTTTTTTCTTTAGGGGGCTGTTCACTAGCCAATTTTGATCAGTGCTTACTTGCCAGCGACCAGTACAGAGAATATTCGACAGGCGTGACTTTGAAGGTGTTAGGTCGATCGAGGTAAAATGTTAATCGGCCATTTTCCTGGGTGTTGGTACACGGGGATAACGATTTTGTTATACAACTACTATTAACTGGAACGTTGCTTGTTAGAAAGCGTGTGTTAACGTTATAGATGCGTTCGAATTACGCCACGGAAACGTACAAACGGGATCGAAATTTAATTCAAAACCCTTACGTGACGGCCATTCAAAGGGGAGTCTGTTAGATGTGTTTGAGCCTGGCTAAAGGGATAGCGCGATTCCTTGACTTGACAACCTGACCGAAGACGGACCCTGCATACGGTACACGAGCATTAGAATATATGATCGTCTATGGGAAGCAGGCAATTACATATATTATAATGTCTTTCATAATTCTAATCACTTTTATTAACAAAAAGAGGGCACGATACGCACGTTTTCGATGGGAATCGAGAGCCGCGGTTTCGACTACATCGACCGACAAAGTGTACGGTTCGGCGTGTGTAATGCGGTTACTGTCGACGAGGCACTCAAGAAGTTCGTCTCTCCCCGACAGGCTATCTAATTACGACCAACGACGTTCCGCTGGAACTTCTCTAGCCCTGAAATTAGCGGAGGAGTTTTCGCCGGGGTAGGTACCTATATCACGGGGAAATTTCAATGCCACGTACGCTCCGGGCTTGAGCACCCTCGGCCGTCTGACGTTTCAATTACTTAGTCGCCAATTAAATTCGATCTTTAGGATCATCTTTCGTTGGATCACGGCGCAGAAAACGGGAACCACAGGACCATGGAAGGAGGAATGGTGGAAATTCTACCAACAGTTCCGTGTTCTGTTGTTTATTCATACGAAAAATTTAATTGGAAATTAGTCGAAAATCATGGTGCACACGAAAAAACCGCTGTGGAAAGAGGCGGAAAAGGAGCAGGATAATTGAACCAGGCACACAGGAAGAGATTTAACGAGGAACTGGCAGAAGTCCCGAGGAGTTCCAGAAACGGAGCATTCCGCGTCTGGTCTTGGTTGACCTGTTCTACTTACGTCTGTGGTATACGCTATCGCGCGAAACTTTCGGATCGCTTATTCGACAAACAAATTTTTGTAGTAGAAAGAACACGGATATATACTTCAGTATTTGTATACCTAGACCTAATCTAACTAAGTGAAAACAGAAAAGACAATTTTTGAAATTTACGAAAGTAAAAATATGTTAGAAGTTATTCTGCTCGTAAGGACTAGAGCGACGAATTGCTTACGAAAGACTGGATATAACACACTTTCTCCGAGAAAATTCGTAATATTACACAAGCTTAAAGAATTTCGCGGGTCGAAGACGTTGAAAGGGTTCGTGTATCAAATAGGCAAAGGAGGCTGGCCAATTCGGGTAACTTTCTAGCTACTGCACGACGTGGTCGATCATTTTCCCTTGCGGGTACGACACAATCGCGCTGAATGCTTTGTTGGTAATAGCATGTTTCCCAGACGACGCGTCTTCTCACGTTTATTGACATATTTCCCTTATATTGTATTTACCGTTACTATGCGTACCAGTTTTTCTCGAGAAAAATATTTCCCTCCGAGGTCTCTTTAGATCCTCTGTGTAAAACTCACATCATATGTACATGTGCGCAACCAGAGACATTTTCGAGATATCAATTCGAATAAATACCGTCCACATTATCGGTCGAGGAAGCGATAATTTTCGTTTCTCATCGATTTTCTATTCTTATCCGTTAACCGCGATTGCTGATCACAATCTACGGGCTTCGGGTGGAAGAGATATCCGTTATCAGCGAGAATCATCGCGATTATTTACACGGACAGAATCGCATTTAGCTGAATCGATCTCTAAAAATACCTACGGCTAATGACTTCGGAGACAAGATTCACAAGAAAATTGCTAAATTTTCTAAGCAACCGTAATTCAGCATGTTTCAGTTATGAAATACTGTTTATTAAAAAGTTATTAAGAGAACAATGATACCTTTCTCTTGTACTGTCTCTAACCAACTCTGAATGACTTTTTTATTCTTAGACTCTGCCTAACCAGTTACGAAGCATTCTTCTGATCGGAGTTGGTTAGAAACAACTCAAGAAACAAAAGTAACTTTTTTCGGTAATAACTCCCCCGAAACAATAGACGAGTTTCTACTCGTTGAAGTAAACTGAGAAGCTCGTCTACTGTTCCGGGGGATGATACTTGGCCATTGTTAGTAATATTGAAGAAAACATATCGAGTTTTTGACTTCGGCGTATCGAAATCAGCGAAGAGGCCAAACTTTTAAATAATTATCTACCTCAAGACGTTTTTCCGATAACTTTTTTACAAACGGCGCCCCCAAATAAAACCTTTACAACATTACTCAGGGCGATAAGCTTATCAACATATTGAAAAATCATCGGAACCGGAGGTGACTACCTTATCGTAAATATTTACCAAAACACGTTCTATTCCCCATCACCAAAAGGAATCATCTTTCAGCATTTGCAACACAATATACGTAATACGTCACAAGACTAAACAAGATTCGTCATCTACGCATCGTCAACCCCGTCGTATTGGCACCCCTCCCGAGGCGATAATCGGTTGCTAACGTTTCATGGCCGAATAACGCGCGATATAACATTCGACTAAAACCGAACAACCCCAATTCGGAAATCACCCCTCTGCGCCTTTTGCCCTTCTAATACTCGCCTAAACATAATATTCGACCCGTTTCCAGTGGCTTGGGGAAGGGCCTCTTCTGTTTACGGAAAGTATTTACCCAACGGACGTCAGCCGCGTAATTAATTTCCGGCGTGTGCAGAGATACAACTGTCTCGGGTTTGTACTCGACGACGGTAATCCAGCGTGATACCAAGCTATTCTGAGCCAGAAGATCCGCCGGGGACAGAGGTCGCCGGAAAATTGCGGAAATTATTTTAACGATTTCGTCTGGGACATTCGCCCCCACCGCGTTCGCGACGAGGCTCATATACGCGATGAACACCTTTTTCGGGGTAATCGCCAATCGAAAAACGTTTTTTGTGGGGATTGGAGCTGCCTGGATTACCGGGGATGGACGCGATATTTTTTGAATAATGTACAGCGAGTTGAAGTGGTATTTCAGAGATTCGTTCTGACATTTACGAAATTGATCCGATTAAATGGTTACTGTGAATATAAGTGGAAGCGTTATTTTTGTTGAATAGTTAGAATTCACAAATTTATTTCACCCTCGTGGACTGCTCGATTGAATTTAATTCTTAATTAGATTTTTTTTTATTACGCAGATTTGTAACATAATTTCATGCCAATAGCTTACGTATAGAGGATGTCCCATTTAAATCAACACACTTGAATAACTCTGAAACTGATGACGATATTAAAAAATGTTTGAGATAAAAGTTAAATTGATGTAACATATTTTTTGGGGGAATTTTTAGTATAGTGAATTTCGATCTGCTGCTTCATAGAGACGAGAATGAAACAAAGATGATTTGTTTCTAGATCATTGAGAGGTTGAGAGTATTCCAAATCTTTCCTAGACCTTACGAAGAGGTGTTTATACCGTCAAGAAGTTCATAAACATCGATCAATTCTCGCGAGTGTGATGTACAAGTATTCTCGAGGAAATGGTAACAGGATTTAGGAAATTGCTACTTTATCAGTGTAGGTACGTAATAAGCTCAGGTTGAATTGATGCTGACTAAAAGAGGATTCTGATTCGAAGTGTTCTTCAAAGTAAGAAGACTGTTATCGATCCAGAAAGCTGTCTACTTAATCTGGACATTTCACCGACATAATAATTGATCTTACAAATTTTGATACACGATCTCAGGCTAATTTCATTCAAAAGTGAATTTTTCTTGATCAACGTGGACAGGAATACTTCCGCAAGCCGTCTCGTCGCCTATGATCGATGCGACAGGATTCAGCGTTAATTCGCAACCGAGCCGGGATAAGGAAATTTGCAAGAGTTTCCTGGCGGGTAATCGCTCGTGAAATAATTACGAAGTTCCCCGGATACCGATGGGAATTCGTCGTATTGCCGGGTTCCCCGTCACGAAGACCCGGGAATAATGAGTTATACCGGATAGGTGAGCACATTTATTTCGTTAGCGAAGACCTCGCTTCCCATTCGGGATCATGGATTCAGTGTATTAAAGATCCCTTTTCCCCTTTAGTGGCCGGAAAAAAAATAGTGATACTTAGGAATATTTTTTAAAGAATGCAGAGAAGATACGATTAAGAAGCTCCTCTCGTTCAATTGTTCTGTGACTTTAGTGTGCCTCTGACTTTTGAGATACATACGTATAGTTCTACCTGGTATACATCGAATAGATCACACCAGGTATTAATTAATAATCATAACGCATACTTACACAAATTGCACTTTCCTTTTTCAACATCAATTTTTAAACACTAGGTGTACACACAAGTACATGTATTTCTTTGTTTTCATGTAAATCAGAATTCCAAATTAATAATAAAAGAATGATCTACACAATTCCTTATACGTTACGTTTTCATTAAGTAAAATGAATGAAGTGGCAGTATTGGAGACACTTTACTAAAAAAAAAAATCTCATACTCGGGCTGATCCATTGAGGATCGAACACGTTCATCGTTCACGCCAGAGAATCTACGACATACAGCCCGCCTACCTTGCAATCAAGGCGCAAGTCTTGAACCTCCGAGTAAATTCGTTTTTCATCGTGTCTCGGAACGCCTTATAATAAAAGAGACGTGTTATTTAAAACTTTACCGGCCCGTACCGATCCGCCACGATTTAAATAATCTTATAAAACCCACGGAATACTAAACAGCAAAATCGCCCCGCTCGTAAAAAGAGAATCGATTTCGCCTTATGGCCGGCTGTGTGTATACGAGACAGTGACAAGATTCGGGCTTTACGACGGGAACGTGACTACCCCTCATATTTTTCAGATTTATACCAACGTTTTAATTAGGATTTAGTCGAACCTTTCCGTCACCCTCTGACAGTTACTCACGTTACCCTAAACTCGTGTATTCACGAGCTAGTCTCGGGATAAGAAAGATATTAATATCGAATTTCCCTTCTCGACTGCATTTCCATGAAAATCGTGGCATCGGTCAATTGGTCCTGCGACACGAGGCAAATCGTTCCTGAACGTAATCCGAGAAACGTCTCAATTCGTACAACAAACGTATCAATCTTCTAGGCCACGGGTCCGATCCATCAAACCGATTCCTTCCCTTACCCTAGTATTATATCGTTCCGCACACACGTTTCGACCGAAGAAAAATCGTCCCCCAGGGGAGGGGTGTGCAGAGCCCTAGAGGAAACAAACCGAAGAAAAATGTCCCTTACCTGGTAGCTCGAGGAAGTTCGAGGTCCTGCGCTGTCTGCCCCGTGGATGCGCGGTGAAATTCAACGGGCCCACGTCCTCGTTACTGACGTTCGACAAATTGGAGCACTGACTGTCACGGGAGCCACGTCTGGACGCCAGGTACGCTGTAACCACAATGAAACGAACGGAATGATGCGTCGGATGGGGAGGGATTCTCATCGAACGAAAACGCGTGGGCCGCCACAAAGGGATCGCACGCCGCGGATATACGTGTACCGGCGACGAGACACAATGGGCGCGCTGATCATTTCGAGATTGCGGCCGCGTGACATATCCCTCGAAATTCCGCTGGACCGCCGTTAACGCTTTGGGCTGGTGCAAATTTCAACTCTTTCGCTACTAGAGGCGTATACAGGATGTCCTGTAAAACTGGTCGTGCAACTGGGTAAAGGGTGATTCTATGTGAAAAAATAAGTAGAAAGTATACAGGGTGTCTCATGTAATTGTGATCGACCGAATAGTTTTTTTAATTGTGAAACGGCAAGAAATGTTTTATACGTAATATGGTATTAAGTTATCGGTATCCCGAGGAAGTTGTTTTTCTCTCGACGTTTTCAAGGTCATCGGTGTTTTTTTATCGAGTAACTGAATGCATTTTTCCATGAGCCACGCGATGCAAAAGAAAAGAATATGTAGTACGTTCAGTGCTGATAGTTCAAGTGCTAATCGAATTTTTACAAACCTCCCCATAGGCGTCAATGAAAGGGTTAAATGATGATTAATCGACCCGATCGTGAAAGATCGCGCTCGACCGGTGAACGGTTCAATTCTCGATCCGTAAATGCGGGGCTCAAGTTCGCGAGCGGATTAAAGGTCGAAGAGGATTACGGGGATTAGGCTCTCGAAATACGGCCAGGCCCTACGCGGCTTTCAGCCCGACGACGCAGGAGCAGGCTGTCTGGTCCGGAGAGGGATGGTAAAGAGGGACGAGAAAGGAATGGGAAATGACGGTGGAGGTTAGCTCGCTCGTACGTTCGTTTTATTCGTCGACCTTTAAATGAGAATCCCATCAGGTCGAGCAACGGGGCCAGCCCCCGGAAAAATGATTACATCCAGAGCCGTCACCGACCCCGATTTTCAATGCCCCCTTTGTCCTTCGCGTTACGATGCTGCCCCTCTCTCTTTCTCTCTCGACGTTACGACATTGCGCGTAATTAGATGAACCATTATCGATCTACCTGCCCGAGGACACTGACAACTGTTTGACAGATTCGTTTCAGGCTCGAGGCGTAGAGTGTTTACGGAAATATAGGATAGAATTCGAATGGGATTCGATTAAGGCCCCTTTCCCCTTAAGCGACTGGAAAAAAAGATGACACGAATGTATTTTTAAAGAATGAGATAGAGAAGCACAGCGATGTTATACATTTTCCGACTAACTCACCGAACAATGTAGATCATATTTAATTTATTAACCCTCGATTGATTACTAACCATTCGATTATCGACAACTTCACACGGTACAATCGAATACACTCGCGAATAAAGTATTTGCCCCCTTGTGGGGGGGGGGGGGGTGGCACGATAAAAGTACAACATTTTGCTCTTTTTTCCCCTAACTCCTCGGCAACTGTGACCAGCGAGACCATTATTTAAGCCGTGTACGTGTCCTTGTTCGTATTCCGCGGTTCCACCCGACAATTCGCGTTGATTGCAAGATGCGACGCGGGCCGGCGGGACGTGACGATATTCCGACGAAGTTCCAAAAAAAGAATGAAAAAGGAAGACGTCTCGTTATCGCGCTATACGGATGCAAAGGAGATTTTTACCTCGTCGCAGGATTATTTCGATCGGTGCCGGGGCTCCGTTTAACGGCGTCGCTTGTTCTAAACGATTTTATGCAAATTTCCCTGGTGTCCGGCCGACAAGCTCGTGCATAATTCGCATTGTTTCAATCACCGTAACACTGTTTCATATCGAAATCCACGCACTGCGAAATATAGAATTACTATAATAATCATTATAGAATAGGTAATGTTTTCTGCCAAAATAGGTTCCACTAAAAATTTGTGTTACTCTTTTGATATCTGTCTTCTAATACCAAGTAGTTAATGTTCACGTAAAAGTGTCATTGTTCAACTCTCTTTCGACCACATTGCACGCCTGCGATATTAATTAAAAACAACGATCTTCGGACGGATTAGAAGGATTTAAAGTATGTAACGCGGTTGCATAACCCAGCGCACGATTTTAAGCCGATCAGAGCTCGTTAATTGCCTGGGCATTGTCTCGTTGTAATGTCCCGATAATTAGATGTGCTCTCCGCGAGGATGAAGCAGCGCGGCGTACGATTTCACCGGTACGCGACGGGTCCCCACACGACCCAGCAAAAAGAAATCGATAATTAACTTCCTCTCTCGACGGGCTGCATTTGGTAATTAATTTTTTTTTTCGATCGGTTGCACATCGCGAACGAATCCAGGGAATTTATTCGTTTCTAGAGTTCTTGTCGATAAGCGAGCTTTTGACGAGTTTGGCTCGGGCAAGTCCAGTGGATTGTGAATTCAATTTGTGAATTTCAAATCGACAAACAATAGAAATAACGAGTGAATATTGCTGCATACTTCATAAACAAATATCTTTCTTTTAAATATAAAAACTAGTTATGCCACGCAGTGTATAATGTCACCCCGGAAAAATGCATTTCATCGTCGACGAAACAATGTCAGGAAATATACAATAGACCGGTTCGAGCTAACAGAACGACTATCGGAACACGAAAAATTCCCCGCAACTCGGAAACAGGGGCAGACAGGCGTACAACACGTCAAAACTTCTAGACAGAGTTCACATTTAAAACCGTCCCGGCATAATACGACTTGCTGGGGGGGAATGCGTGAAGTAGGGCGCTACAGTGATCCCCCACAATGGCCCATCTAACGAGGGCAACCACCCGCGCGAAACTGCGGACAAAACCTACGAAACAAAAACTGATACGGAAAGTTCGCTTACCGAGTCCACCTTTCATCGAGCCTCTCCTCCTCGGACTGGACAGCAGCGTCACTTCCGTGTCCGCGTCCTCAATCTCCGTCAAGTCGCTGGTCGATTTCCTCGAAATGTTTTTACCAAGGGTCACGCTATCCCCGTTGCTGTGCCCTTTTCCAGCCTCGTCCAGGTACCCTTGGCTTCGATTAAAATGACTATTCTTCTTGTTACCCTTCTTGTCCTTAGGGCTGTCGTTCTTCTCCTTCAACGATCCCTCCACGGACGAAGTCCTCGAGCTACTCTTATAATTCGTGCTGTTCTGCTGATCCAGATTCAGCTCCGAGTACTTCGGACTCGGTAGTCCATGGGACGTCGGTGTGACGATCGTGGGGGACATAGGTGTCTTCGAACCACTCACCCCGAAACACGAATTCCTCCTAGGATCGAACGATTTCGGGCTTTTTGAACCGAAGCTGGACGAACTGGACGATCTAGCCGGGATCATTCGTGGCCCAGAGACAGGACTCTTGGGTGGATAGCTCATCGTCTTTCCGAGACATTTTCGCGTGTCGACGAACTGGAACACAGGGGACTTCCTACCGGATGAGTGCAACAGGTCCCTATTTGGGCTCTTCGGGCTTCTGGATCCTTGACGTGTATAATAACCCGGACTTCGAGGTGATCGGTCGGTCTCGTTCGTTCGACCGAATTCTTCGAAATCGAAGTTCGTGTTGGGCGTCTCGGGATAGTATTCAGGCGGAAACTCGAATACCAACGGTGTACCTGGTGTTTTAGTAACGGACAGCTGCGTGGGGCTTCTCTGGCCGCCAATCGGTATCTGCGGTAGCTGCGGCAGTTGACGGGGACTACGTGGGGACTTCAGGTGTATCGATTGTCCGGGACTGCTGGTCGCCATTCTCGACCGAGATTTCGTTGAACGATACTTATTCGTCGGCGGTTCTTTGATCGTTCACACGCTTCCGGCAATCGTTTCAATCCTACAGAGCTAGGGGACCAGACAGCCGGCTCATTCTGCTTCCGTCACGACGATGAAACGCAAGATTTCCGGAACGGCTGGTGCTCGTGCACTCTAGGGACACGACGCGCGAACCGTTCTCGCCGTCGCAGACGGATTCGATTCTCATTTCAGCTCTGGCCGCGTTACTTCTCTCGCCTCCATGCCTCCTCAACGGCCCCCTGTTGCCGACGGCGCTTTTACGTAATGGCGACGGGGATGGATGTGTAACGGGGGTGTGTCTTCCGGAGTCGGATCCCCCGACCATCAAAGCCGACGAAACAACTGCACGCGTTGCTCTCTTCGGATCTGACGAAACTGGAAAAATTGCGACCGGTTGAGTGTGATTTTCCGTCTGGATTAATCTTGAAACGCGTTTGAAGAAATCAATTTGATGGTGAAATGGACGACAGGTGACCACCGTGTAACAGGGTGGGTTTAAGTTTCTAAAAATGATCGTGTTATGCGAAACTAGGAACTAGTATGTACACTATACCGTTCAGAAGTGTCCGGACACTTGTATGATGTTTCAAATCTGCGAAATATTTTTCAAATATTTGTGAATATTTTTTATACGAAATGTCCTTGTCTCATCGAAAGTGAATAGATTGAATTGTTATAGAAAAATGTAAGTGATATATTTATTTATTATTTATTTAGAATTGACGGGCAAGGTATATTCTATGTTACGCTATTATGTACATTATTGAACTAATTGAAATAGTTTATATCTAAATGATGATATACTACCTGAGAAGAAATCTATGCTGTCAGCGTATAGACTAGTACATTTTAATATTCGATTCATTGAATTAAGAGATCTATTAATAATAGATCTACCAAACTTTAATAAAGATAATACTATTAATAATAGTAACATTCTAATGTTGACAAAGTACTATGTTCGGACACTTATGGGCGGTAGTGTAGATACATACAAAAAAAAACAGCCCTCTTACAGAAATACCGTGTTGTTAGGGGTTTCTCTAATTTTCTAAACATGTTATACGGGGGTTACCTGTATTTTCTTGAAAGACTTGTCAGTACAGTCTTATAACGACGATTAAAATATTATGACGATACATTTTCTCAGATCTTTTGTAACTTTTATTACGATATGAAAGTGAAGAAATCGGTTAACTTATAAATTTCTACATTTTCAAATGTTCGTCACGTTCATCGACAGAAGAGTCATAAATCTTTCAATAGTATCGTGTACAAAAGCTTCTTTTCATGACGATTAATGACAAGATGTTCAGAACCAGAATAATTTGTATAACCAGATTACAATAGACTTTACGAACGACACTGTAAAAGAAGGATTTTATATTGTACAAATCCCGATAAAACGTCGTAGTCGTCGACAAAAGCGTGCTCGTAACTTTTCAGTGCACCGTTCGGGTTTACGAAGAGTGTACGCGAAAAAAAGGAGATTAAAAATTCTTGACTTTGTAGCGCATCGGTCTGGCCAATAAAGTCACAGTTCCTCATCGATCGAGCGATCCACTCGCTCTTCGTCGGTCGTTCGTGGAGATAGACGGCAATCCCTCTTTTTGAAAAACGATCGCCACGGAGGTAGCATGTGCGAGCAGAAGAATACACTGTCCTGCAGGAATTTAATTTCGTTCGGTCGCGATGGGACGTAATTTACTCGCCTGTGCGAACAACCGAAAGTGTACCCTTACAGGCAGAACAGTGAAGTCTCAATGGACCGAGGCGATCCCTATGAGTTTATTCGTTGAACCAAATATCTACCGTAAGGCAACTCCACTAAACAGAATTTTCGCTGTCTGAATATAATTACAACGGAACACTTGACTTAAACGAACTAGTGAAAATACGACAAGAACAGTTTTCAAATGAATAAACAAAAATAAGAGTTCAAACAATATTATACTTCGCCGAGGATCAGATCTATCCACAAATGTACACGGATCAGAGTTCGTTGACCAAAGTATATCTGTACACATGCGTTAATTTTCCCGATTAGTATTCAGTGAAAGAGTCGATCGAAAAATTTCTTCTAAAACAGATTTCAAAAATGAATTGACTGTTCGGAAACAAGAACGGAAGATTCTGTACTCACCGTTCGCCTTCGAAGAATTAACCTGTTGATCGCGACCGTCCGAGAAGGGCCGTTGCTTTGTCTCCTGGATCCTTGTGTTTCCTTCGTCGGCAAGACAATTTTGGGAGTGACGAATGGTCGAAGTAATTAAGTTCGATGACACGAGAGAATGGTAACACCGACGAGAATTTCGATGACGCAGCGGCGATATTTACATCGGACAACGGACAGGAGGGAGACCGGTAGGAGGGTTGCTTCCTCGGCGGAGGCTGGCGCGTTACTGCGGGGTTGGAACGCACGGACCGCCGTCAATCCAACCCCCGCCACGATATTCACCCTGCTCGACCTCCTCCCACTTTTCGCTACCCGTTCCCCGGGGCTTTCTTTCTCTTCGCACGTGCCTCTTTATCAATTCGATCCATTTCGCTCCCGTGATTCCGTTGGATCTCTTTCGGCCGTCCGGCGACACCCACCTGAGGCTGGACCTTCTTCACCCTTCAGGAAAAAAAAAAAAAGAAAAATATTTCCAATTCCAATTTTTATGGAATAAATACGCCGACGATTGCTTAGCCTGTGTCGTATTGGATTCAACCTTTCGGAATACACCTGATAAAGTTGTCCTATTTCTTTTTGGTTTACAGCGATGCGAAACGGAGTGAAGGTTTCATTGGGTGATCGTGGAAATATTTAATAGAATCTCGAATGTCTCGATGTGATTTCACTCTACTGAGGGAGTGCTTATATTAAGGGAAGGACGACCATCATGAATTGGTTAATTTAGATGCAGCCCGTGTACTTGCACGAATTAAACTTGATCCTGATGGATCTTGAGGTTTTCTGGTCCAAGTTCCTACAGTAACCTGTTGGTTAATTGGGAGCCGTGGCTGAAGACCGACAGACATCAGTGGTGACACTAAAGATGATGAAATCTCGAACAAACTACACTTGGTAGTATACTCTTTGATCGTTAACCCCTTCGTTCCGAAATTGTCGAAAAATTACCAAAGAACTATGTTGTTGTATTTTTGTGTATATTAGATGACATATAAATGATTCACACGAACATTTTAACATTTTCAAACCGTCTAATGCCATTTTTTATTCGTTGCCATTTGACAACTTTTTCTACATTTATTACCGCAATTTTTCTTACCTTTAATCGATAAACCCTATTGAATTATTTGAATGAAATTAGAGTTTTGTAATTTCTATTGTATTTGTAGCAACACTTGAATTCCATCAAATGAATGAGACAAAGGACCAATAATGTCTTATTTTACCGATAAACTTTTAAATACACATGCAAATTTGTGCTATACCGTCTATACAGGACTAGAAGAAATTATTATATACTCACAGATATGAAAAAAATACATGATGACTAACATTTTGTGTCGTAATTTAGAGTAGATATATAGTCATATGGTAACAGTGAAGTCCAAACGAAGACCTACAAGAATTTGAAAGAAAACCGTTCGTGATCATTTTGATAAAATATTTTTTCATATAGCAGTAAACGACCATTTTCTAGTCATTCACAAAAGTATCACGATTTTCCTGTACGCTGAAATGTCCTTTGAGGGATATTTACGAAATCTATCCAATGGCGAACGGAAAGACGCCACCGGTTCGAAGTCACCCCAAGGGAAATTGGATTCCCATGCAAAACCACAGACAGTTACTACAATGGCGTAGCTCCCTGCCAGAGTAATCGATGGTTTACGACATCACCGTAAACGTTGACGGAGATTGCGCTCGAATTTGCACCGCTGCGAACTATCGCGACACGTTGGGGGTCTTGCGGTCGAACTTTGGCAAACATGTCCAACAGGTAAATGGGTTCAGACCAAGTCCCGCCGTGAATCTATACCTGACCCAGATCCAACCGCGACACGACTATTATGAAAGTGGAAAATTGAAGCTACCCCGTCGTTCTAACGAATTCCGCCGGCTTTTGATGTTAAGAGAATGTTGATACTCACGACTTTTGCGAGTGAAAGATAGGAATTTTATAATATGTTGATTCTGTTGAAAAAATATTCATTTTATGTCACGATCCGAAGTACAATTTTTATTGAATACAGAAAAAAGAAATTGAAAGTATCTATGTCTTGTATGTTTAATAAATTTGATCATTCGGAAGGAACTTAATTAGGTGTCCGTTGATAATACTTAAACTGTGGATTTTCATGCAAAATTATGTTTTTTTTAAATAATTTGTAAAGACAGGAACAAATTTAGAAATTTCTATCTTAAGTATTTATTGGGTTCGAACTGAAATAGAAAACTCATTTGGTTCTGACGAATGTTTTGCGTTTTATTGTATCGCACAGAGCCCTATAGGCTGTAAGTTATGATTGCATAAAATCCACAGTCTACTAATAACTGAATCTCATTGATCTTGGTAGGCTCTGCACGTGAAGCACAGAAACACGCGGACTGATTGATCCAGTAATGTGGAACACGTGCGTTAAATATAAGATACATAACTGCATGTACGTAGCTGTTGACATCGAGCACTATTGTCTATTAGCCGGGAGTTGCAGGTTTAAATGGACTTTGAAGCATCGAGCAAACCTTCAATTTTATATTAAAAAGTGGATAATTAAATTCCTTAAAAATGATTGAAGTACTTTTTTTGAAAATTCTTAATAATATTTATTTATTTAGTTATTACACGGGTATAATAACTAAATAATACATATACAGTGAGAAACTAATCGTAAAAAAGAATTTTTAATACCACATTAACTTAAATTAAACAGTTTTTAGTACCCTATGTAAGGATTTGTTAATGTAATCAATAAAGCCATTGAAAAAGTCAATCATATCCATAAATTTATTGGCTGATTTCAGCATTCGATAAATTGGGCCACTTGAACCATATTTAATTTTTACTTATTACTTTTCCTAACACACCTTTGTGGGAACAAACAAATGAACAAGCTGCAGCAATTGGGGATATGAGATCTGATCATTCATTAGTTCAACCTAAAAGCAATGTATTTGATTTTATGTTGTACTCTCTCTAACATTAGCTTATATTTTGAGAATTGTGGAGACCAAATGGTTGAAGCATACTCTAATGCAGTATTAGATTATTATAATATTGAATATCATGAAAAACGATGTCTGTGGAAAAATGTGTAAAACTGTCTTTTCTTGTCACAACTTTCTTTGTGCGCATTGACATTGAGGTGTTTACTTCGTGAACCGGTTCGTTAGAGAACGACGGAGACGAATAATAAAACATAGTTGTGCGCTGGCGCGAAAGGTAGCCGAAACAGCCGTACACCCTACAATATCGATTGTTACGCCACGAAAACGTATACTCGATTGCTTTCTACTAACAATAAATAATAGAACTCATAATATATTAAATATCAACAATCAAACCTATACACCACAATATGTCAGAAGATTTACAGACTTTTCCAAGACACCCGAGCCCCGCTATTTTGAGACTCCCTTTCCAATCCAAACTGCAAACATCTATTCAACTTTCCAATCAAATATACGAATTTCTATACTAAAATTGCCTATAAAAATCCATCCCTGTTAATATTCTTACACAATCGAAATTCCCTCAAAAAATCGTATCGATAAGGAGCCACTCGAACTGCATTAGTCATTCCTACTTTCTGTGGCGATGATCGAATGATTTATCATGTCCAGAAGCGAGTTCAAGACACTGTCCAGTGAGCTGAGATAATGAAAAGTACACACGAAGATGGTAGAATCGATTTGTTTGATAGTGAAATTCTTAGAATTACCGAACAAGGTTCACAAATGGCGCCGTTGCGCTCCACAGACGAGATATCTTCTTCCTGCTTCCCCTACCACGTGTAGATCCAATGAGTCGTCGGGAGGACTCGCTCGATAACAAAGATCCGACGTGGACGTCAGTTTCGTGCGATATTCCGTCACGATGTCGTCGTCGCTGAGAAATTTCCGTCTGGATTTCGAGCGCCAGGGCGCCACGTACTTTCCCGGTGAAATTGTAAGAGGTAAAATCATCCTGGAAACAACAAAGGACAAGAACGTCAGAGGTGAGTTTCGGGGAACAGAGACAAGATTGGAGCGAGCAGGAGGCGCTGATCGAGACTTTCTTTTGTAACGCCACGCGGTAATTACATATTCGATCGCGGCTCACAAAAAAGTTATTATCCTGAACTTGTACGTATTTTTATTTATTTATATAATAAGAAATAATAATTGAATTATATAACATATAATAATATAAGTATTAAACGTTCAGTAAATAATAACAAATATTTTAAAAGGAGGATAATAAAAAAAGTATAAACAATAAAATGGAAAGAGAAATTATGACTTGGATCGAACACAACCCGATCCTTACCATTAGAGGGTTAATAAGGAATAGAAAAGACGGTCCTTATTTCCAATCGCATGAGAAGTAGAATTCGCATTTATTTTGAATGTGGAAACAGATAGCTTAATAAGTATTTAATTTCATAAACCTTAGAATGAAAATCGTATGTGTTGTTTCTATTTGTCTGTTGTATGAATTATCGTGCCCATGTTTTACTGGAAATGCAAAGCACCGGTTGTCCTCTAATTACATTACTAATGAGGACGATCCAGTTGAAACACGTGTTGTGCTCGACAATGCGTATCAACGCAAAAGTAGCTTTAAACATTGCACGCCGAGTTACCGTTTTCTCATAGAATTGTGTACACATTTTCCACGTTTCCCAGATAAAACATATGTTTAATGTTATTGATTAAACGTGACCTTCGTATCTTGATGAAAGATAACAATGAATTCGATATTGCATTATAGAACATCGTGATTATCACACACGTGTATGTTCAGAGACTCTTTTTATGTCGGATATTTATTAAATGGAAAAAAAAAGAACGCGATTACATCCTATAGTTACATAATTCTCCTTGATCGTTGATTTATTCGCAAACTGCCGACTCTCTCTTATCAACCTGAATGCATTATCGAGCAGTCAATATTACCAAATTATCGTATCAAGTTGTTTCTGAGTGTTGTCAGTGCTACGATTATAGTACATATATTAGTGTATACACTCGAAGAAATGACACAAGTAGCAAATAGCAAATAGTACAATTGCACGGAATATATGATGCTATTAAATCTGCCGTGTCTTGATCGGATAAATGATAACGAAACATTCAATAAATAATTTACCTGTAATCTTACAACCGTATCGTAGGACTGTATTTCTCTGTCAGAGGGTTCGCTTCTGTACATTGGACAGAAAGGAGGAGCTCAGGGGGACGTGCTGGAAGAAGTAGTTCTCACAGGCGATCATATACAAATACGCAAGAATATTTCAAGCTCAAAATCAATGTACTGAGTACGAATGAAGGTAAATTTAGTCACGAATATTTCTAATTATTCTTGTCCATATGTGCCTATGTGCTTTCGTTTATACGTATTCAGTGAAATATCCTTAAATACTATATCATTCGTAACATTTTCCGAAAAACTTCCACAGCGGAATCGAGTGTACATATTCCAGCAGGGTACACCCAGTACTGTTACGAATTTCAGCTACCCTATAACATTCCCAGCAGCTTCGAACACGAATATGGACACGTCAGGTACACAGTGAAAGCAGTGATCGACAGGCCATGGAAGTTCGATCACGAATGTAAGGCCGCGTTCACCGTGGTCTCCATTCTGGATTTAAACGGGCGTCGAGAAAAATGCGTATGTAATCACTTTCTTTTAAAAAAAAAAAAGCATCGCCAGTTCTGGAGTACATTATTATCATTTTCGAACAGCAACCAATCTACGACGAACTCGAGAAAACCTTCTGCTGTTGTTGCTGCACCATGAAGGGTTCGTTGGATGCATTCGTTAAAGTGCCAACATCTGGATACGTTCCAGGACAAACAATCGTCACGTCGTTAGAATACAACAATTCCACGTCCAGTATCCGGATAACAAAGATCAATGCGAAGTTACAACGAGTAAGTGAGACTGTTTAAATCTTCGAGTCCGAACTATCGTTATTCTTTCGTCTACCCTTCAAGGAAATCAAGTTCCACGCGACTAGCAAGACGAAGACTGTATTCTCGAACTTCATGTCCACCAAGTACTCAGGACCATTTGAATCGAAAGGGGAGACCGTTCTGGACATAAAGGTACCGCCGATCCCGCCGTCAAACCTGTTCCATTGCAAGATCATAGACTTGAATTACAAATTGAAGGTCGCCATTCACGTCTCGGGACTGTAAGTAGCACCGTGAAGAAGATATCAGGAAAATGTTGATAATTTCGAGTAAAATGTGAGATGGACACAATTACAGGCGACTAGTCAGACGAAAGTTTAAATTCCTATTTCCAGTGTAGAGGAAACTGTGTACTTCTGCGTCGATTATTTCTTATCGTTCAGACATCAAAGACAGACTTAGATATTCTGACTCGAAGGTCCTATAAGCTGTGTTTATAAAACACAGAAAATTGTACCAATTCATTCTCAACATTCAAAACTTTTTTGATGATTAGGTACTGTAAACTTGAGAAGAGCTACCCACTTTTAATTGGATCGGTACCACTCTACTGGGAACCATACGAGCAACCAAACGTCGTATCTGGTGTATTCAAGGGACCAGCAACATCGATTCCTGTGGCATTGTCTGATGCACCTCACATGTCAGAGGATATACCATCGGACAGCGGTCCTTCTAGCAGACAACCTCCACCGCTTGGATTCATTCTACCGTATCCAGCTGCTACCACTGCTAACATGGACATACGTAAGTAACTGATAACAAAAATTATGCAATTTTTCTAATCGTGCTGTCAAAAGTAACTCTTTAATTAAATGTGTCGTGATAAGACACAAAGATCTTATATTTCTTCTAACTCTTTATATTTTTTTTTATACTCAGCACCTCCATCCTACGAAGAATGCGTGTCAGGCGCTCAACACATCAGAGATCATGATGAATCGGATTACGTGCACGGAGCGGATAGTCCTTTTGTGCCTAGGTATCCTGTGTTCAACTATCCCGCACCAAGTATGCTCGTAATTAATTTTTTTACAACCTAGATACTGTTACTTGGTGAACTTTCTTTTCTACTGATGATTCTTTCATAGGTTCTCAACGATTTGAATGAATCACTGGGAAGATAACGAAAATTCCTACCACTACTGTGATGAAGATCGACGAAGAAAACCTGGTTCAAGTATTACTATCATGTAAGAAGATGGACGCTCTCACGCAATTCTAACGACGACAAATATGTTCATCGGTGCGTTCGAAGAACAACGCTGAACATAAAGTTGATTATAAGAAACGGAAGTGTAAACGTACCAAATTTTCTGTTTGTTTTTATAAGAAGATTCCTTGTTCATATTGACATCGAAGTGTTATCTTTGTAAGCCGGTTCGCGAAGGAGCGCTACAGAGACTTTCGAGTTGAGGGTTGCCGCGAAAGCCGGACGAGAAACGGCCGTACAATCTGTAATATCGATATAGTATCTATAATATAATAAAGCTATATACCACAAAATGACAAAAGATCTACAAGTCATCCAAGCTCCGCCATTTTGAGATACCCTACATGATCCAAACAACACAATGTATTCAATACTCTGTTCAAATGTATAACTATCTACACTAAAATGGTTTTTGATAATCTATCCGTATAACATTCTTATATTATTATACAGGATCACTCAACATTAATCAAAGTTACTCTAAAAATAGCATCGGTTACTCGAACGAGCTCTTACTTCAACTATGTTAGTCATTCTTGCTTCCTGCAGCGATCGACTGATTCGTCATGACCAGAAGTGAGTATACAGCACTGTTAAATAGATTGAGATAATGAAAGAACGCATTAGAAGACGGTGGAGGCGATTCGATCGAGAATTAAGTCTTCGAAATTCGTGGATATCGTCCGCAAATCGACGTGTTATCTTCTTTCTGTCGCCCCTACCTGGAACATGCAGCGGACTGTGTGTGGGCTCGCTCGATAAGATAGATCCAACACGGATGTCAGTTGCGTATGATATTCCGTCACGATGCCGTCGTTGGAAATTTTTCGTCTGGAGTTCGAACGGCCGAGCGCCACTTATTCTCCCGGTGAAATTGTGAAAGGCAACATTATTTTGGAAACGACGAAGAACAAGAATGTCAGAGGTGAGTTTCGAAGAACAAAGACAACGTTGCAGCGCACAGCATGCGCTCGTCGACACTTGCACCAGTCACTTTGTAATTTTATCGTGGCTCACTGAATAGACATCGACAATCAATAATGATTAAAAATAGTTTGACGTTTTCGGGAAGAATATAAATGTGTATTTATATCAAAACTGACGTTGAAGGATCTTTTTATGCCGGATATCTATTAAATGAAAAAGACTATGCGATTAATGTTATCATTATATAATGTTCATCAGTGGCACGGTATGTACGACAATAATTAAATCTATCGTAGTTGTATCAAAGAACGAGACAGTTCTTAAGTAACGTAATCGTAATCTGACCGACGATTCGTAGGACTGTATTTATCTGCCAGAGGAGCGGCTTCCGTACACTGGACGGAATCGGGCAGCAAAACCGAAAGCGATGGAAGTAGTACCAGCACCAGCGAAACATACTCGAATTCCCAAGAATACTTCAAACTAAAAATCAATCTATTGGGCACCAGTGAAGGTAAATTTGATCAGCTTTCTTTTGAATACTGTAACATTTGTCAAATTTTGTGAAACGTTGTCTAGGGGATTCGAGGATACATATTCCACGGGGGTACCATCAGTACCATTTCGAATTTCAGCTACCCCAAAACATTCCCAGCAGCTTCGAACACACATATGGACACGTCAGGTATACGGTGAACGGAGTGATCGACAGGCCGTGGAAGTTCGATCACACATGTAAGGTAGCGTTCACTGTGGTCTCCGTTCTGGATTTAAATAAGTATCCAGAAAAATGCGTATGTAATCACTTTCTTCTTAACAAATATCGGCCGCTTCTGGAAACGAAATAAGTCATCGTCTCTTTCGTGCAGCTGGGAATCTACGACGAACTCGAGAAAACCTTCTGCTGTTGTTGCTGCATCTTGAACGGTTCGTTGAATGTAACCGTCAAAGTACCATCTTCCGGATACGTTCCAGGACAGATGATCCTCACGTCGCTAGAATACAACAATTCCGCGTCCAGTGTTCGGATAATGAAGATCAGTACGGAGTTAGAACGAGTAAGTGAAACAGTTTAGACTTCAACGTCCGAATTCATCATTCTTCTTTAATTTTCCCTTCAAGGAAATCAAGTTCCACGCGACCAGCAAGACGAAGACTGAAGTTACCAACATCATGGCCAGCACATACTCAGGACCATTTGCCTCAACAGGAGAGACCGTTTTGGAAATTAGGGTACCGCCGGTCCCGCCGTCCAACCTGTTTCATTGCAAGATCATAGACTTGAACTACAAGTTGAAGGTCGTCGTCCACGTTTCTGGGCCGTAAGTAGCAGTCTGAATAAGATATCTCGAATGGACAAAATTATCCGGTACTAGTTCGACAAAAGTCCAAATTCCCATTTCCAGTGTATCGGAAAATTGAACTTCTCCATCGATTATTTCTTATCATCCACAACTTAAACGTAAGCTTATTTCTCAGACACAAAAAATTATGTTGATTTATTCACATGGTACTCATTCTCGACGCTGAAAGCTTTCTTCGTGTAACGATCAGGCACGTCAAACTTCAGAAGAGTTACCTACTTTTAATCGGATCGGTACCACTGTACTGGGCACCATACGAACAACGAAATATCGTACCTGATACCTTGACGGGGCCAGCAACGTCGATTCCGATGCCATTGCTTGCAGCACCTCGTACGTCATACGACATACCATCAGAAAGCGGTACTTCTGGCAGACAACCTCCACCCCCTGGTTTCAACCTCCCGGACCCATCTGCTACCCCTACCAGCTGCAACATACGTAAGGAGTTAATAACGAAAATTCTGTACTCTTGAAACGTGCTGTCGAAATAACTCTTTGATCAAATGAGTGGTAGTAAGAGCTTTCTTTAACAGTACCTTTTTTAATTTAACCATTTGTTTCGAGTCTTTACCTTTCTCTTAATATTTCAGCACCTCCATCCTACGAAGAATGCATGTCTGGCGCTCAACACATCAGAGATCATGATGAATCGGATTACGTGCTCGGAGCGGATAGTCCTTTCGCGCCTAAGTATCCTGTGTTCAACTATCCAGCCCCAAGTATGATCGTGATTAATTCTATAAAGCTTACATAGCATTACTTTGTAAACTTTCCCTTCAATCGATGATTATTTCGTAGGTTATCAAAAATAACGATGAATCACTGGAATTGACGAAATTTTCTACCATCACTGTGACAATGGTTGATGAAGAAAGCTTGGCTCAAGTGTTATTATTATTTATAATATAAAAAGATTGCCGCTTTTATTCGACCCTAACAGCAGCCAAACGTATTTATCGCTGTGATGCATTTGTAGGAACAACGCTAAACAGAAAGTAACACGACAATTCTTAAATCTACTTCGTCTATTGTACTTCGATATGAATCACCGATCACATTTGCACCTACGTTTTTTTTAATTACATATACAATTATTTGTACACATGTGGCTTATATTGCTGCCTGATGAGTGTTCACCATTCTCAGTTATAGTTAGAGGGCATAAGGGAAAAGCAACGGTTTTACGAAAATGGTATATTTACACAATTTATTTTATATCTCAACATCGTCTTATTGTAATCATAATCATCATCGAGTCATATAATTAGAAAAAAAAAAGTAACGATGCATAATCGTTCGAAAAATAGGAAGGGAGAGGTGGGTGTGTGTGTGTGATAGATAGGGCAGAAAAAAACATTGATACAATTCCACGAAAGAATAAGAGTACAAAAGGAATGAGAGATTCGTCGCCAAACAACATCGGCGAAAACTAGTAGATCGCAAAATTGGTCGTTTTCGAAACAAGTCCGAATAAAAGAGGGTAAAAAAAAAACAAACAAAAAAACAGCAAAAAAAAATATAATGCGATTACGAAGAAGCACATAGACGGAAGCGTCGCGGCTAAAACGAAACCAGGACAGAAGTGTAAGGGGAGGGAAGAGGCTTAACAAGTCGCGAGCGTATCTCGAATCGATCACTCGTATAACATTTTTCTTTCTACTCTAATAAATGTTAATACACCCTCAACTTTGCAAGTTCAGCAAATACACACACGGTACGAATCGCCATTTCAACCACCAAATGCCCGATAAACGTGTCATTGTAGGAACTGAACCCAACCGTCTTAACGTTAAAGGCTGTCTTAAATACTGAGAATAGACACGGATCGTCATTTCTTTCCAACGTTTTTTTTTTTCTGTTCTTTTGGTGACTTGCTATCTGGATGACTGTGAAGACGTTTTCCTGTTTGCTTTCTTCTATTATTTCTTTTCTGTTACTTTTTCTTTTTACTTTCGATCGGTTACTTTCACTTGGACAAAGTAAACGAGGTAAGAAATTGACAACACGCGATGGCTGGGACACACACGTTTTCTCGCCCGGGGGATAAACGCGTACACGTGGCTATCTAACGAAGATTTGATAATAAGTCAATTCCAATGACGTGTTTTGTTTTAGTTGCTGCTGCTGCTGGTCCCATTTCGTACTATTCCGCCGAAACGTAGTCGCGACAAACGGTTATCACGCTCGTCGAAGCCACGAGCCGCTATCGCGACAAGGATTTCGGTACGCTTTTAGCCTGCTTTCGTTGCTCTCTGGCTAATCGCGAACGGATACTCGCAAGAACATCCGACACGCAACGATTAAAAAAGTAGAAGCTAAGCCACACGAACGAATTCCCGTACACACCGTTGTTGCTTCGTTCAACGAGCGTGCTCCAAGTCTAGGACACGATTCCGTTGATCCTGAATAATTGGCATTCGGTGTCGCAGAGGTACTCGTGCTCATTATTACGAATTTCGGAAACCGTAAACACACGTGGTAAAAACAAAACTTATATATGTATTCCGTATTCTTTTTTTTTACGGGTATCGTAGGTTGCGCTAAATATAATAAATTTAGGCTCGACGAAAATACTGCGAAAAAAACGAAAAAAAAAAAAAAATAAGTGAAAAATAAAATTGAAAGAAAAAAGAAAACAAAAGTATACCATGAATTTGATCCCGACAGAACTCGATGCTTGAGAAAACGAGAAAGAGAAATTATAAGGCGAAAGGCAAAAACGATTTAAAAATTAATATACATTAAAATGAGAACGGTTAAAGCGCTTGGACATTTAAATGTTGCGTAGATCGCGGCGTGTTGTTTTAATGTACACGCGTTCTTGACTCGATAATGTTTCCTTGACTTTTCTTCGTCTCTTTTTATATCTCTCTGATTATCCTGACTCATCGGGAGGGGAAAGGAACTGTGCGCTCCGACTTTACAAAAATTTGCTTCGCTTATATTACAATAACCTTTCCTCGATTTAAGACATTCAACCCTTAATATATTATTATCATAAATAAATTTGGTCTATCGGTAATATTGTGAATACGCCGGTAACAAATATACTGGCAGTATTTGGTTAAGTAAAAAATCATGATCACTAGAAGAGGTAACTGGTACCGAACGGGATCTCGAAACGTGTGAAACAAAAAACATCGGTTTTTCTTTCATTTAATCTTTTCTTCTTTTTTTTTTGTGCTTCGATCGCGAAGTATTCAGCGGTGAGAAACGACTCGATTTATCAGCCCACATAGACAAACGAAAACGGGCAGATGCAAGACACACATGTTACAACTTCCAGTAAACTTGATTTAACATTCTTCAATGGGATTACCGGGAGTGACGACAGATCTACTCGCGATACGATTCAAATTTCGTGCACACGTATCGACAAAACACGAGGGTGTAACGATCATCCACTGAAACGATGTACCAGCGAAACGGCATAGAATAATGATCATTGAATATTTCTTCGTCCGTCGAAAATTAGCGTGTAACATTGTTGAATATTCAATAATAAGTATGTGCATAGAAAGTTTTTGCTTTGTTAGTATTTGATACACAAACTGGAGAAATTTGAATACCACGCAAATAGATCTGCGACGAAGACACCCATAGGAAAGTATAGTGAGTCAGTAGATCTATTTTAAAAAACAGGTAGTTGCAAAGTTGTCTTTTAACATTTCCGTTCGATCCACAAAACTGCCTCGGTCAGCATGTATTGTAAACTATCATGACCCACTTATTAGTTTCTTTTTTGCAGCACTTTGTTTTAAAAAAATAATTAATGTTATTGCCGCCATTGCGGTATGGCGCAATGGGTTCAAGACAAACATCAACATTTCATCTCTACCATTATCTGTATACATACATTCAATACAACATTAACATTAACTGAGATTAAGAAAAGGCATAATTTACATTGTCGCCGTGTGTTGATCCAAGTCATGAACCAGAGGACACTGAGTTGTGCACACATTGAGTGTGTTTCTTTTTATAGTGTGTGGTATGTCTTTACGCGATCACTTTACATTATTACACTTTTTTTTTCTCTTTCAGTCCGCACGCTTCCCAAAATCCTGCAAGAGGAAGGACAAATTCCCTATCTGAACTTCATGATTCTTTTTACTACACAACCAAATCATAATGTTACCGATAAAATGTAAATCCTTACCATAACTATAAGTGTAATTCTTAACCTTCCCTCTTAATGGCACCAGGTGCTTCTGCTAACCCTTTAACTTTCAATCGGTCAGCTGTTTTAAGAAATGCAGGCAGCTGATCTTGAGATACATTAACTTCGCCTGCGTACATGAATTCCAAAATAGCTTGAAGGTGACTGTATGCGACATCTTTTAGAATTATAATGGGATGTTTGGACGGATTTTCCTAGAACACATCGATAGTTAACTACCTTATCCTAAACAGAACTTCATTCACCTTAAGACTATAATAACATACCTCTAATAATGACTTAAAGTAAGGACTACAAGCGGACAACACCATTTTATGTGCTTTACACGTCTGACCATCACAAGCTAATGTCACATCTGTGAAGCTTTTCTCATCTCGTAAGTGTTTAAACGATGATACCATATTAGATTGGAAATCATTCCACTTAAGAAAAAACTGTTGCTGTTCATCTGCCATTATTGATACCCAATATCCTGACAGTCTTCCCTTGAAATTGTAAGCTGAAAATATACCTATTCGTAACACGCACAATCCTATATCGTACTAAGCAGAATATAGCACAAACATTATCAACATAAGGGTGGCACGAGGAAGCGAAAGACGCATTAATACGTAGAAACAGAAAAACAAACGTTAAGTACACTCTTTCCTTTCCGAGTGAAAAAAGAACCTTACATCATCGAGAATCGTTTCAAAAGCTAAAGTATCTAGAATGTTCACGGTACAGAATGTTGCAAAATCGCGCGTAATTCTTGCGTACCAGATTTCGTCTAGGTTAAGCCCAATAAACATTCAACAACTTAAATCGGACGTGTTGGAGAGCATTTGTTGAACCAAATGGGCAATTAAAGGGAAAAGTATCGTAACATAACGGGAACCTGTTTTGTCCAAAAACGTGGGAAAACCTCGGGGGACGTGTTATTCGCATTTTGTCATAACAATACGCGTACATCCGACGAGACCGTACCGTCAAAGGCACTCGCAAGGAACCAACACGGGCCAGAAAACGCAAAACGCATGGAGAAAAATAACCTTATGAGTTTTTTCACTTACCACGGGCTGATGGACCACCGAATCCTCGGAGGCGACGGTGAATCTCAAAAGGAACGCGAAAAATATATACACCACCGAAAAGTTTTTACGCGAATGTTACGAATTTTTTGTTGTGGCTAATATCACGCCGAAGAAATTCGGTCGAATTCGGATCTTTCCGTTGCAGGTCGGCTCGGAAACACTGTACCGACTGCAAATGGATTCGATTCTCCACGCGAGATGTCGCCCCGGGCGTCGTTTCGGGAAACATTCAAAATTCTCGCTTCATAAATGTCAATCCAAAATTGTATATCGACGTCACTGTACATACTTGCATTCCTAGGTATATTATTAAAAGACTCTCGGAATGAATACACGCACGAAAATAGGAGATCTATATTTTGACGCTTAATTTTCCTGTTTGAACGCTATCCTGGCACCTGGCACGCTCTTCTTCGACTTTCGATTCGATTACTCGCGATATGTTGCGGTGAAATTTGAATATAATGTCCGTGGGCCATTAACAGTTCCGCCGCGGGAAATTCCGCGCAAGGATCTAACATCTAATGCCGATAATATCCTCTCTCACTTTGTTGCGGCTAATTGCGCAATCTCACGCAAGCAATTGGACAGATATCAGTATATGCGCTAACTGACAAATCCAACGTACCGCAGGTACACAGAAATCGGTTCCGATCGAGTGACCAACGATTACGGTAACGATAATTATTGGTTGACGTCTTGTCGTGTAGATCGCATCGTCGATGCGACGCGAGGTCCGTGTAAATACAACGGAAACAATATTATATCTTCGATTAATTGAATGGCGATCATGTACACTCTCGTTATGGATGAATTTAGACAGTACATTGGTCAGGTGGACAGTGCGCAATAGGTAGTCACCCGTTGGTCTTATCTACATTTCCTACAGTAATAATTATAAACACTCATACGTGCTTTAATGATATTTAACATTGGTTTTAGAAACTTTCAAAAAGAGACAGAATTTCAACGTACCCTAAATTTCAAGGAGTCGAGAATGGCTTCTCAGTCCTGCAAACAATGTCCTAACGGATTGAAGAAACTCAGCAATGGTTGGAGTATTAGCATCATTTCAGGCGGCTAATATCATTCGATAATAGTGATAGAAAAAGTATGGCAAGTATGGCGCTACAAAAGACTGTACAAAGAAGACCTCTACGGGTTGACCCAGAAGGGTATCAAACTTAATATGCAACTCGGGTACATTTCTAAGTAGTTTACCGTATCACATCCACTGGAGAACGCTTCTTAGGGACGAACCTTGGGGAGAGGGGGCAACGACGTCGACTAGCGGAGAGCCGATTTCCGTGGAAAATCCATTCGTTCGAAAGGGACTGCGTTCGCGTATATGAGTTCTTATAAATAGAACCGAGAAAGGCGAGCACCGGAAAACTTTTCCTGTCGCGCGATGCCGCGACGGGACGACAGCGTGTCAATCCCGTGAGACAGACAAAGAGAGATCGATGGGTCAGAGAGAGGGAGAACGAACTGAGAGAGGACGTCAGAGAAGATATAAACGAGAGGAAACAAGATGGAACGAGTGAATCGAGCTCGTCGGGGCGAGGGAACTTGGCGGGGAGGGAAGGAGGGTGGACGCGCGCGGATAGCGCGCGCTCGTAGCGCGGATCGCACACCCGAGAGGAAAGAGGCTAGGCGAGGGTGAGAGACGGGAGCCGGGAGGGAAGCGCGTAGCGCGAGCGCAAGCGCAATGAGGCATGGAGTTGGGTCTGAACGCGCGCCACATTGAAAGCTTGCGACATGCCGCAAAGCGGCTCAGTCGCGCGCCAGCTTTCGTGCGGGTGGTATCGTTTCTCACGTTTTCTCGGCGTTCTCCCTGTGGTGTACCGTGGCGAACACGAAAAAAGCCCGCGTAGGCGTGGTATGTGAACATTCACGCGGACCATAAGTAAACCGTACGTTTAAATCTGCGCGTCCGCCGTGTGATTCGGCGGGACTCGTGTAACGAGCGCGGCGCGCCTCCTCCGACGTGTAGTCCTCGAAAAATTGGAATTAGTCGAGGGTCGCGACTTTGCTACTCTTGGACCAGTGTCAGATAAGCGTGCCTGATCATTATCGTCATCCGGGAAGAGACTATCCCCGGTTTATCCCGCCGTTCGAGGCTGTTTCCTCGCGGTGAAGTTCGTCAGCCGCGTACACGGCTCTCTGTTTTCCATTGAACAACGTGTCACGGAGTTGATTCTCTTTTTTGTTGGGGTGAAAAAGGGACAACGCGTCCTGTATCTCGATAGAGAGGGTGATAACAGAGAAATTACGGAAAGACGGGTATCGCGTGTCTTGTGATGTGCGTGTGAGCAATGGAGTCACCAGTCATGTACGATTCAGCGGCCCATCAGGCCCAGGCCCATGGCGCGGCCGATCTCAAGAAGACACAAGTACTGAACAACAACAACAACAATCATCCGAGCACCAATAACAATAACAACAACGCGGCGAACAACAACAATTCTGCCCTGCAGGTGAATCATAATCACAGCCAACAGCAGACCAGCGCGGTGGTGAGCAAGGTCTCAGCCAGCAAGGCTAGCCTTCACCAACAGTACGCGGAACACTGCGCCGCGGCCGGCGAGCTGACCGATCTGAACACGCCGGAGATATCGTTGGATCTGCAACACCTGATCGACGATAGCCACTTCAACGACGGCTTGTTGGACATGTTGGGCGCAAACAACGGGACGGCGGTGAAACACGTCCGTACGCCCGGTTATCCGCGTACCACGCTCGCCTATATGCCGCAACCGGTGCACAGCGGGGCGAGTTACCACCAAGGGAGCAACAGTTGTAGCGACAGCAACAGCTCGAGCTCCGAGTCGCCGAGCATCAAAGAGGAACCCCTGGACCCGGCCGATTATCGTCGTCACTGCCCCCAATATCCACCCGGTGGATACAGCCCGATCACCAATGGACCGTTCGCGAACGGTGCGCCGACCTTCACCACCTTGACACCGTCCACGGTGCCCGGTGGACATCCGGGCGCGCCGGTACACCAACCGCCGCCCCGAGGCGGACCAATGAAACCGGTGATGGCGCATCAGCATCACGCGAACTCGGCCGCCGCGGCCGCTGCCAGGAAACAGACCAAGGCCATCGACAAGGCGAGCGACGAGTACAGAAGACGACGCGAGAGAAACAACATCGCGGTGCGAAAGAGCCGGGAGAAGGCGAAGGTACGATCACGGGAAACGGAGGAGAAGGTGAAGCTGCTGGTGAAGGACAACGACCTGCTCAAAAAGAGGATCGAACTGTTGACCGAGGAACTGAACGTGTTAAGATCGTTGTTCAGCAGCGTCGGCGTGGTACCGGAACAGCTACACCGTGAGATCTCAAGGCACCTCGATCAGTTCCAGCAACACGCGGTGGGACCCATGTAGCGCACAAAGTCGTCCTCGAGCAACGGCGCGGTGGCATCGCGCTGTTACGCCTTTCTCTCGTCCAACGACGTCGACCTTCGTCCCTTGCCTTTCGGCCCGTTACGATTGTGAAGGAGGAGAGTCCATTGGTCCTCTTACCGGATGGGACTCCCGTTTTACGGAGCCCACGATACGATGGTCCCTCGGGGACAAACACGCTTCTCGATCCCTTTCACACCGGATCAAGCAAAAGTAAGGAATAAAAACCACCAGGGATATACCACGTAGAGAATGTCGTGGTGGTTCCGGACTGGTAGATTGTGTGACTGCGTCTTTGTCTAATTCCACGGACGTGGAGAACGCGCGCGTGGTGCACGTGCGTGGCTCGAGAAAGGGAGAGAGAGCTACACACACGCACGTTCGTGGAGACTAGAAAAGGACACGGAGGGAATGGAGACTAGAGACAGAACGAGAAAGAGAGAAGGAGCGAAGCAGAGGGAAAAGAAGAGGCGTGACTCGCTCGAAGAAGAGACTCTCCTTGGTTTCATCTAGGGGAGGGCTTTTCGGTAGCTCAGTCGACAACACCACGTGTGGAAGAAAAGTGCCTACACGCTTATGGCGAACTTTTTTTTACATCAAGTGCACCGGACACTTCCCCCTTCACCCCCCCATTTTCTGTCTGTACAAATCGAAACAAGAGAACGGAGAAAAAGAATGGTTGCCCCATGTCTGACGATCATCCTGTTGGATCATGGAACAAAGTATACAGGATCGCGGTAGACTGAGCGTGTTTTCCGATCGATTTTCTTTGTTTCTTCGAATACTTTCTCCCTTCTTTCGTTGTCTGTCCGTATTTCGAGACCACACGAAAAGACTGTGGGTGGCTGGTTACCGCGCGTGTGTTTCGTTTTCGCATGGGGTTTCGCCACCTCGTTCGATCAGCGCGCGTAATTCGTAACACGGTCGCGATTACTGAACAAATCACGCGTCGATGTGTGTACAAGCGCATCAATCACACTCACGGACAACCGCCGGACCATATTCGTACACATACACACCATGTGTGTGCGCGCGCGCGTACATAGTTGCGAACGATCGTGCTCGCGACCGCGCGCGAATATGCGACGCGCATACGTAAGTTCGTCCGCATAAATCTTCGATTCTCTCAGGCGGTATACAATTTTTTTTTATGCACCTTCCACAGAAACGTTCCAAGACGAACGAGCGCGCGCGCTTACACACATATAATACACGTACAACAGATCTCGTACAACGGATGAAATTGCGACGAACGACCGAGCCCGCGTGAAACGTCTCTCGCCCCGTTCAGATTCGTTCTTAGATGTCGATCGATTCAATTAGATTATCGTTCTGAATACCAAGTACCTAAAAGAAAAAGAAAAGGAAAACGAGAAATCATAAGTACCGAACGCGATAAGCATGTTCCGTATATTGTATTTTTTTCCCTCCCTCCACCCACCCCCACCCCCGTAACGGGGGTGAGGAAACGCGCGACCATCCGAAGGAAAAACAAAAGGCAGGACAAAAAAATATATATACATATGATCACTCTTACCACAACACGCCCTTGTATTATAGCTCTATATATTTTAATTTTATTATATTCGAGAGATGTATGTACATAAAAAAAAGCTAATATATTTTGTTAGAGAAACGAAACGAAGTGTTCGTGTTTTGCGAGTCAGATGCGAGAGAGAATGTGTGAAAGAAAGAGAGAGGAACAGACAGAGAGCGAGAGAGTTAGTGTGACCAGAACGAAAGAGGAACCGAAGAAATTATATGTATGTTAATTATACGTGCGCGCGTATGTCCAACAAACGAACGTTATTAGTTGTACATTTTAATGCAAAACGCATGATGGAGATTACGGCGAGAAAGAGAGAGAGTGAGAGAGCAGAGGTAGATACAGGGAAGTATCTATGTTTCGCCGACGTTACCTGGGATTCGGTCCAACCGAGTCCCCCACACCTTGAGTTACCGTAAAATCGCGTGAAGCGGGCTTCATTTCATTAATTCTACTTCTTCTTCTTCTACTTTTTTTTTTTGTTCGTCCTTCGTTCGTAGATTCGATCGCGTGCGATAGAACGATATTTGTTACTACCTTATATACGTACTTGTGCGACAAGTTTAATACATTTTCTTTTCTTCATTTAATTTTTCTTCTATTTTTTTTTGTCTTTTCTTTTCTAAGACGTTTGTCGGGTCTCTCGGTGAAGCACGACTCAAAAAACGAAAAAAAAAAAAATGAACGGCGCGTGCACGCCTGTGCATCATCGACACACACACAGACACGCATGTCCCCGTCGAGTACCGCTGCGTGTGCACTGGCGTGCACGCGTTCCTTGGCGTATGACTGATGTATGTTAGGTACGAGATTACCTGTCACGGTTGTCTTCTTGTCTATGCACAAATATATTTTGATATAAAAAAAAAGGAATTAAACTACACGATTATTTTTTCGATCCTCGGTCCTCCCTTTTTTACACATGTGTACACTTGTTACTTTCAGCTATGACTCGATGAATAATCATCTAACGCGAAAATGAGAGAAAAAAGACTAAAGAGGATAAAATAGGAACAAATGCAGCTTAGTCGAATTTGAATCAGTTTCAATACAGCGTCAAAAACCGGCTATACTTTATTTTTTCTTTATAAAAATTGACTTCTTCGACTCGGTAGACGTGACTAATCGAACAGTGGCCTGATATCAATTCCCTTAGAAAGCATCTGTTAGCCCGATTTTCCAGAATTTACCTAAAGATCCGCCAAATCGGTGCATTCTGAGCCTTTTCACTCTCGAAGCGAGTAGTAAGTAGATTCAGAAATCGCAAGGCGGACAGAAAGCCTGCGTGTCTCGTCGTTTCTGCTTTTCCAATCTATCCGAGGAGAATGTTTACATCCGCTCGCGAGACCGGCGTAAAAACAAAACGATCGATCCAAAGTTTTCCACGTTTCCTCGACAATGATAAGGCCACACACGGTTCCGAAACGATTGTTCCCCTTTTGTACAGCGATTCAGGGGTAAACAGGCGACGCGAAACGGTTAAATTGCAACGGAACGAAGGAATTGGATCGGTGCAAAGCTCTCTCCATTGACCAACAGGGATCGTGTAAATAAAATTGTTGACTGTTGATCGAACGGCAAAAATTCCCTCGTGTAAATACACGTGTGTACACGCAATCGCGCGGAAAACGATCGGCCCTGTTGCCCGCGCGAATCCCGTCCAGCAATGAGTCACGAGATAAGTTTGTTGTTACTCAGATAAATAGATTAACACCATTGTGACGATCGTGGCGCTCGTTCTGCACTTACGGGGGGAACCGGATACGGAGGTCTGCTCGCTCGACGATCCTGCCCATTGCTGGCGAGGAGAAGTGGAAGAAACTGTGACTTTGATCGATGCATAGATTTTCTTTCTTAGATATCTGTCCTAGAGCTGTAAGTATTTGGATATTTGAACAATTCAAATAATTCGAATAATTCCGAATACGAATTATAGAAATGATAAATAGAATTGATTCGAATTTCAGATTGTACCGAATAGGAATTAGAAAAACAAATAATTGTAAAGGTCAATTATCGCTACACTTATATATATATATATATGGGAATGTTAGAGCTTGAAAACAGTTCGTTGGGTGGACCAGTCGACCCACGTGGCCTACCACTTCGATCAACAGGTTCTCCAACTTGGAGGACAATGTCGTGCTTTCACGCATGCGTGTTCGGTCTCTGGCAACGCCAGATACGGGTCGAACACCCGCGAGAAATAGTATTGTTTATAACCGATTAACCGTGTTTCCGCGCGGACATTACACCGATCCAGAAGAGAGAAAAATCCGTTATTTATGCGTATGAATATTACCGCGTAGACACACAGCCAGATAAATATGCAAATATCCGTGATAAACGCCGCTGCGGCTACTGTTATCTCGTGGACACCTTCGCGCATTCGAGAGAGTCGTCAGACCTCTGCACGGTAAAAAGTTCGTCTTAGGGTTGAAGAACAATTTCTGCGGATGGTATCTCATCGAGCGAGTGAAAGTGACGAGACACATGGTGTCTATATCTGACTTCGATAAATTCGTCGATGGGCAACGGTTACGGTTGGACAACGCGTTGCTTTCCCGAATGTTTCGATCAGGAACGTAACGTACCACGACGAAACCATTCACAAAACACATTCCTTAGTCACGTTGAGTTACGGTACATAACACGATCTTCGAGCTTTCGTAAATTCTCCAACGACAAATTTGGGGGAGTGTGTCCCTAGATTTAACGTTTCCGCGTTCGAAATCCTCAAAGAGTTAGGAGACTTCGAACATGGACCACCAGAAAGCTTATCAATCCCCCTCCATCGTGGGTGTCTTTCGAACTTCGAATGCTCGAGAGATAGACTGAAATCCTCCTAACCTAGGAACATCTACACTGAACAGTCTCGAGGAATGCAAGAAGATTCTACGGGAGTTTACGAGCCGCTAAACATAGACCGTCGAAAAATTTCGGGATTCCGTCAGGGGTCTCCAAACATAGGACTCGAAAGACTTTAGGGCCACGAGGGTGAAGTCCGCGAAAGTTTACGGTTCACTTGGCACTCGTATCGTGGTCCACTGTTAAAGAGGGGTAACATAATTAGTCGTCAGCTTACGTCAACCTGTCTCAGGGCTGAAGACCGCCCCAGGTTATAAATATGTGCCGCCGTCGTCGTCGCCGCGAAAACAGTTTCCGGGTTGCTTCGATCTTCCACTTTCCAGAAGCCGGCTTTTCCCTCTCGACTGAACTCGGTAGACGTAACAAAACGTAGACAATCGAGCACTTGTTCGATTCGTCTAATGGGAGAACGAGAATCGACCAGTTCCACGACGACGACCAGCGGGAATGTTGACACACCTGCTGCGACGGACTAATCGATACTTTAATTACTCCCGCTCCTGGTGGCGTTACGTAATCGCGTGGCTGATGTTCCGTGGGGACCGAGGTACGTTTCGAGTCTTGCCAGCG